CTGGGCCCTTCCCTCTCTGGTAACACAGCCACATCTCTCCTTTGTAAAAAGTGAAACCGCGTTGTTAACCGACTCTGCTTTGGTTAAGCTTTGATTAAGATAAGATGAAACTTTATTTAGCGACCCGAGGGAAATTGCCGTGAAGCAGCAGCAATACAAAGTGAGATGAGTATATAAATCTAAGATAACTGGTTTGCGTTTGAGTCTAAATTGAAGCACAGGGATGCAAATGCAATGTTTTCACAGCTAAGTTTTCCATGGACAAGGTCTTCAGAATCAGAATCAGAAAACCTTTATTAGTCCCACAGAGGGGACATTTGCATTGTCACAGCAGGAAAGAGCCGCTTAATGTTACATATGTTAAAAAAAACAAAAAGTTCTAAGTTATGAATAGCTTAGTAACAAAGTACGGACACCAAAAGATCATGGGAGTGTTATTTGTATGGCATTTATTTTGCAGGTATTTGCTCACAAACCAAAGGAAAGCACCAACTTGTTTGTCTTTGGAGGATTCTTATTGGGACGTGAATGTTTGTACAAAATCTCATGGCAGTGTATACAGTTGCCAAATATTTCAGTCTGGATAAAAGTTTCCTCCTGAGGGAGTTTCTCCCCCACACACTCCTCCCCCCCCCTGCCTGAAACCCCTCCATTGGACGCCTTTGTTTACCTACGTAACATAGTGACATCACTACGAAACACTGGCCTTCTATTGGCTAGCGCTCCAACACAATGTGATAGGTTAAGGGGCGGGACATCTCTAAATGGTTGACCAATCACAACAGAGCCGGCCAGCTAACCAATTAGAGCAGGCTCTGGTTTCAGACAGAGGGTGAAAAGAGGGGCTGCAGCACAGGCAGTATGAGAAACGGGGTTAAATAAAGAGCTTTTTGAACATTAAAGCATGGAGACATGTTCCAGTAGAGACACATACTGATATGAACCTGAACATCAGCAGAATAGGGCCCCTTTAAAGGTTTATCTGGTACTTTTAAAATAACATCATGTGCCACTTTAACATGCCTAGTTAAACTATTTCCCGATTCCCTTTATCCAACTGTTTGTATTTCCTTGCACTATTTTTCACACACATATTCTTTTCACATCATGTTCACACTGAGTCAACATTTACATTTTTGACAGACTTCAAGCTTCTCTACAATCCCTCCGTCTACTCATAAGCTACTGCAGACTTATCTGGTTTGGGATCACTGCACTAAGTGCTTAAAAATAAGGTATACAAACCATTTCTAGTCATATTTAGTTGCAGTATCCTCCTCCAGATCTTATTTTAGTCATCAGGCTTTGAACTGGTGTCCTATTAGCGAACCACACTGCTGTATTCATACTTAATCCTGCCTCCTAGCATTAACTTTTGACAGTTTTCTGGCCAATTGCTCGCCATGGCTCATTTGCCTTATTTGGTTATGGAAATGTTTCGCTTGATTATCCAACCCCTGCAGCAAAACTGAGCCGTTGGAGTCGTTTGCGAGAACACTTTATGATTGGTTTATGGTGGCGAGGGTAGTTGTTGTTGCCCACTTGTCACTGCTTCACTTTGGCCCACACTGAGAGGCTTGTGCTTAAGGGGGTCAGACAGCAGAGCTCTCCATCGGATCATTGTCCACGGTCATTAGTCTTTTGACCTTGGTGTGAACCAGCCTGTGGTGTGTATTTCTTCTGTGTCTCTTAGTTTTTCCCAGATTAAACCGGCGATAAACCCTCCAGTCCTATCTTAACGACGCTCTCCATTCACAGAAGCCCTGATAAAGACATTCTCCCGCTGCACATCTGCCAGCCTGCCTTGTGATCACCGCTGCTCTGTGACTAACATACCCAACATTGCAGAAAAATTAGACATGCACAGAGTTGACGAGAGTGCCTAACATCTACAGCTCGGGACTCTTTCCCAGACTGATTATCCCCGGTCTTTTCAATGTGCGCTTGGTATGTTTGTTTTTCTCTCTCCTGCCATCGGAAATAATTCTACTTCAAAAAGAATTACAATATCATAAGGAAAAATGCTCTGTACATTTCTACGGGTGTCTAATGACATGCCCTCACAAAATGCTACTGAGTCCACTGTTTCAACCCGCAAAAAAACAAGCTTGATGAGTTACATGGGCTGACAGTTAAGACGGTTTCATTCTCACCGTGGCTGAAGCCGGGGGTAATTTGCGTATTCATTCATCTCTAATAACACCAATTGATATGAAGCCTTGTCCACCCCAATATCACTAAAGTGCAGCTGACGACTGATGTATAATTTAGCAAACATGTCTAAATGGCTCTATGGATCGTGTTTCATCTGTCCGTTTCTCACAGCTAGCTCTCTCTCTTACCTCCTCTCTGTATAATTTAGCTGCAGATAAGCTCTCCCTCTCCTGCATTAGTGTGCTGCACGGCTGCCAGCCGAAGGAACGGGGCCTTTCGCTCTATATGTGATACACTTTCTGCCTGCCAAGCTGAGCCATTGCCGCTGCCACCGTCACTCGGCGCTGACGAGTTTGGGCGGCTGCCACGCTCCGCACCTGCCAGGCTCATAAAGAATCCCCCTGTTTCTCCGGGGCCTGAAGGCAGGATCTGCCATAATTGTTAAGGATGTCGCGATTTAGACGTTCAAGCCAAAGCTTAGACAGTTGATGGCGCCAACAAGTTGGCAGATGGTCCATTTTGTTCAGCTGATCCGTCAGCAGGGGTATTTGGGGTGTTAAGATGAATGAGTGGTTGCAATATTTCACAAGTGGCAAGAATTTATGCCGCGGTCTCAAATGTAAGCAAAAGTCAATCTGTCGCTAAACGCTCTGCTGCAGTCTCGGCCAAGAGGAGATCCAGCAGAGGAAACCTGGATAAGAAGCCTCAACAAAATGACAAGGAAGAGGATGAAGTGGACGTCCCTGTCAAGTGCCTGGAACACTCTGCCCCTCCATGTGAGGTCGGCATAGACCCTAGGGGTTTTTAAATCTACACTAAAGACACACTTCTTCTCTCTGGCCTTCTAGTTAGAGCGGAGCACGACTCCTGACTTTTCCTTGTGTTTTTTTTTATTATATATATCTGTTGTAATTTATTGTCTTTTATTGTGATTGTAGTAATGTGTTTTTATTACATGTACAGCACTTTGGCTCGACCAAAAATCGCTTTTAAATGTGCTTTACAAATAAAACTTGATTTGATTTGCCTCGTCTACACTACAAAAACTGGAACAATTCTTGCCAAGTATTTTTAGTCTAATATCTTGTCAGAAATGTCTTTACACTTGAGACCTAATAACTTAAGAAGTAACAATGAGACGAAGGGTCTTGTTGGTATGCATCTAACATACCTTATAAAGGGAAAGACACTTGAAAACATCTTATTTAAAGTTATTTTTTTGACATGTTTATTGGAAAATCACCAACTAACATTTAGCTTATTTTGTAACACAACATTTCCTTATTCTTCCTTATTTCAAGATCTGATTCATCTTAATATCCCATCTTATTTCAAGAAATCTAACAATGCAGTGACATACTGTAGGGTCTTGTTTTAATGCATCTTGAGTATCTTGTTAAGGCAAAGACTCTTTTTTCAAAGTTTTTTTTTTAACATGTTTATTCGAAGAAATCCAGCTAACATCAGAACACAGAACACTTTTGAGCATTTGTGGCTTATTTTGTAATGCAACATTTCCTTATTCTGGAAAAATATAGTGCAAAATAAGTCAATTACATGATCTGATTCATCTAAATATCCAATCTTATTTCAAGAAATCTTACCAAGCGAACTTTCACTTGTTCTAGTCGCAGATTTTGTTACTTGTTACGAGCGAAAACACCTTATTTTCATCATCATGTGACTTGTATTTGGAGCAGCTCTTCTTTCCCCGTCATATTCATTCCCCAAGGGGGGCAGAAGGAGTCGGATCATGATATACTTTCAACTTCATTTTGTGGTAAAAGTGGATCCAGCTTGTGTGTTTCCTGAAGCTGGAGGAGCACCGCAGACCATTCATTTGTGCATGTATCCACTAGTACTACGCCAGCGGCTAAATTGATGCATATTTATGACATGTGACAAAATGATGAAATGAGGCCTTTAAAAAATGTAGATTTTTTTTTGTGCAGAAATTCCACTCGAGCGTGTCTGCTCTTTCTCAAATGCTTCTCCCCATGTCCTGCTTCTGTATCTGTCTCAGTCTCATGTCTGTGTGTCCTCATATCAACCCATCTATATATAGCAGGTCCCACTCTGTCGCTGTCTGTGTTACTGGAAAAGAGGGCGCTCCATTTTTTGAATACGAAGCTTTGTCTTGGGCAGTAGCATTAAAACCAGGCATGGAGAGGGCAAGGGTGGAAGAAAGCGCCATTGACAGTTTGGTCAGTGCCCCCCCTCTCTCCATTGTCTCCAAGTGCTAGACGTCAGCAAACGACAGGAATCTGAAGAGAGGGAGGACGGGGAGCAAAAGAGTCGGGGCTTTGTTTCAGGGCCGCTGGAGTCAGACCCGGTGAAAGTGCAAGGAGAGGAGAGACGAGGGGTGAGGGGGGGGGGGGGGGGAGAGCACTGATCTGACCTCGCTGCAGGATCCCCCCCCCCCCCCCCTCCTCCTCCCTCACTGTAAACACACATGTGATATTCACATATGAGCACTGATCACACACAGCTCTACAGATGGTCATGATTTCCTGTCGGCGCCTCCATGCTAAGTGTTGATTAGCGTTCCCTCTCACATCACACAGAGGGTGTAATCTAACACATTTCATTCATGATCGCGTAATGCTTCAGAGTTTTTTGCAAATTCGCCCCAAGGAGCCCATTGTTTACCTACTTAATTGACCAGCTCCAGGTGCCTCTCGCCTTCGTTTGTTCTACCACTTGAAAAGATGATGTGTGTCTCGATGAGGGAGGTTCACAGGAGGGGTGGAAGTTAGGGGGGGGGGGGGGGGGGGGTGGAGAGGAGGAATGGGCCGGGCTGAGGGGTGTGGTTGGGTATAAACCAGGGGGACAGTGGGTTTCCTGTTGTTGTCCTGTTTTGAAGACCCGTGTCCTGGCGTCCTGACCCCTCCACTCCACTTTCTGTCTGTCTTTCTCCTCCTTCCACTCGCCTGCCCTCCTCTTCCTCGACAGACTTCTGTTCTGCAGCATCAGTCTCTCCTGAAGCCTGAAGCCATGCTGACGTTTGTGGCGCTGGCGTCGGTTCTCCTCCTGGGAATAGGTAAAAGAAAGAAAATATTGAACTTGTTCTTACTTTTATTTTTTGAGTCGAAGACACCAGAGAGTTACAGCTTTTGTGAAGGACGGTGATGAAATGATCTAACATCTGATGTGGGGTTAAATGTGCGGTGTTTTCTTCTTCAGAGCTAACCTGAAAACTGATGGATTTCATGATAACATTTTTTTTTAAAGGGTCAAAGATTACACTGAAAAAACTTGAATTGAATGTATTATGTCAACAGATTTCACATAACTGTATTAGGTTAGTTGAAAGCAATAATATTAAGTTCAAAGAAAATATATAATGTTCTACTTAATATTATTGCTTTCAACTAACCTAGTACAGTTATGTGAAACTTGTTGACATAACACATTTAAATAAAGTCAACATTTCAGTTTTTTCAGTACAGTAGGGATTCATTGATTGAACTATTCACACTGTTAAAACTCAACCAAAGCATATTGAACTAATATCTTTAACATTTATCTGTTTATTTGATTAAAAAAAATAGGTATTCTCTGGTGTGTTATACTCGATGACCCAGCACTGTCCCCGTGTGCTCATCTTATAATTGCAGGTGTCTCAAAAGCAATATTATGACTTTCAAATGGACGCTTGAGTTCTTGAGGCTCTCTGCGCTCCCCGCCTGTCACATATTTGCAGTTTTTGTCAGAATTGTAATTGAAAATGTCAAGCGTGAGTTCATCGACTCGTTTTCTGCGCTGACCGTGTTCACTGTTGCATTAAACGCTGTGAACTTTACTCTCCGGGTGATTAAAGAAGAGAAAGCATGAAGCTCTGCGACACTTATTGGCATTAGTGTTAATGAAGCCGTGAGAATACGGTGACTCACGGCTGTAAGTGAAACTGAACAATAGTAAGATGATGATGTTGTTGCGGCGGTTGCAGAGGCTGCGGTGGTTGCTTGAGATGCTGAGTGCATTTTTGAGGGAAGTAAAATATTGATTGTGCAGCCAAAACCAAATGAACATCGATCATTAGATATTATTCGAGCATAAACAGTGCACATGATTAAGCCAACGCAATCCATATTAATGGAGAAAAATGATGTTCCCCTTTGACTTTGAGAGACTAGCACTAATATTCCAGTGTTAATCCAAATATTTACTGAGTGCTTGTCTGAATCGATGGTGGATCTGACACCTCTAAATGTGCAGTTTAACAGTGTGTGTGTGTTGGTGCATAGCTGAGTATCTGATTTAAAAGATTTCAGAGAGAAAGGTCATGTGAGTTGTGCTTTGTATGGTTAGGGTAGGAGTTTAAACGTTTTCAGAAATGTAGTGAATTAAGGAACAATTTAAGCATATTTTGATTAAAAGTATAATAGAACAAACATAAAAAAATCAGTCACATTGACCTGGAAAACAGTATGACTTTTATACAAAGTTGAACGGAGGATATTCTTAGTTTTCCAATTATATATTTTGTATTTGTTCTCCAAATACTAACCAAAAGATGTCACATAAACTGAAGACGGTTACTGAATTGCAATTATAAGATGAAGGCCTTCAAAGTTTGTACTCATTTCATGTTTTATCATTTCCACTCATGTAGCCAATTCTGCATGAATGATTCATTACTTCACAACTTGCTCTCAACTAAAAAAAAAAGTGTAGCAGGTTGAAATTCTGATCACATTCTGTTTTAAATCAATACTTATGGTAATCTTAAACCCAAAACATGTTGCTCTCCCTGAATCTTTTGCCTCGTGGTGATGTTTTTGGATGAATCCTCATGTTTCGTGTCTCCAGTGCCCGAAAAAAGTGTTCCAGGTTGAAATTCTGTTCACATTCTGCTGCAGATTGTAATTAGACTATGATATAAAGTCAATATTTATGGTAATATTAAACCAAAAACATTTTGCTCTCCCTCAATCTTTTGCCTCGTGGTGATGTTTGTGGATGAATCCCAGGGGCGGTTCTAGGGGGGGGGCAACGGGGGCCAAAAAACCCTCCAAAAAAACAATATTACGATTTATTGGAACTAAATCAAATCAGAGACCCGGATGTACGGTGGAGATTAAACTGTTCATGACCTTATATAAAAGCAAATACTGTTTATGTTTTGTAATTCAATTGTCACTTAAAGTTACTAAAACAAATACTCTAAATGAAAAGAACTACTGAAACAAAGGACTGTAACTTAAATGTACCAAAACAAATACCTTTACAAATACCAATTACTGTATTTTATGTTTATTTTACACAATTACTTGATACTGTCTTTGTCTTTTGAACCCGCTTTTATTGTCCCCTCTCATGAAATAACTAACCCCCCCCCCCCCCCACAGTATAATTGGTCTAGAACCACCACTGATGAATCCTGATGTTATGTGTCTCCAGTGCCCGAGCAGACGGAGGCCATAGCGATCTACACCGGCTGGGAGCGCCACGCCCTGCTGGGCGCCGACATCCGCCTCTCCTGCTCCTTCTTCTCCTGGCGCTTCATCTCCGATGACGTCACCTTCTCCTGGACGTACAGACCGGACGGATCCCGGGACAGCATCTCTGTGAGACACACACTCACACACAGACACAACCACTATAGACTGCTCATTGTTTCAAGTTTCAAGGCTTTATTGTCATTTCAAGGTACAAGGTTCAAGGCTTTCATTGGTCATGTGTGCATAGCTACAGTGTAGTTATGACAATGAAATTCCTAGGTCACAGGCTCCTCCAACAGTGCGACATAATAAAACAGATAATAGTGCAAGTAAATAAAATAAAATAGAATCTAATAGAAATAGTGCAGAATAGTTTATATACAAGTAATTGGAATATTGATATATATATAAGTTGCAAACAGATGTTATGGATGTTCTTTCAAAAGTTCAGGTGTTTAACGGTCTTATGGCCTGTGGGATGAACTGTCCCTGAGTCTGGTGGTTTTAGTCCGCATTTGTACATTAGCTACAGTGTAGATATGGCAATTAAAAACTTAGGTCACAGGCTCCTCCAACAGTGCAACATATATACAGGACATAGAACAAATACAATAGATAATTGGTGCTTATAGACAGGTTAACAAACAGGGAAACAACCTTTAAAGCAATCACAATTAGTCACACCCACTTTAAAGCTGCCTCTTATGAGATTGTCATGGGACAGATTTAAGGTGAGCTTCAAAGGGGTTCATTTTTAGGCTCATTGTTCTGGTTTTACAGCTCAATCCACTCTTATGCACCCATCTGCATTCAGTCGCCACAGGCCGCTGAGTTCTGCAGAAAAGCTCTGATAAACTCACTGTGAGAGGGAGAAGAAGTACTGTGTTTTAAGTCGTAAAACTCCACAGTACAAATACTAGTAAAAGTCCTGCCTTCAAAAATGTAGTTAAAGTACAAAAAACAAATACTTGGTAAAGTTAATTTGAATCTGTAATGTAACATAGGCTAAATATAGAAGGGTCAAAACTACAATAGCCGCGTTCACACCAAGTACTTTGCCGTACTTAGTGCCGGCACTTATTACCCCAGGGCACTAAGTACAGATCGCGTTCACACCGGAATAAGTTCCCTGAGGGAAGATTACGCAAATGAGCCGCTGACGTCACTTCGTCTTCTTCTGCTTTGGGTTTACTGGCAGGCCGCAAACAACTTCACGGCGTATACTGCCACCCGAAGTCCCCGGCCGGAAGTCCCCGGAGTTGGGGACTGGCTTCAGTCGAAGCTGCTGGGACTCCCAGCAGCTTCTACTGAAGCCTTCCGAGTAAATCGCCAGAACGCCGACACCTCCTCATCTCCACCGCTCCCATGTTTTATTTTGTGTTGCCATAAGTGAGTCTCTCTGCGTTTGTGCGCTGGGCGAATGCTAATGCTAATAATGCTAATGCGAGGATAATAAAATGGCGGCTCTACAAAACATTTCAGAGTTTTACGGGGCGTGGTTTGCAATTCGCCCAGCCAATCAGAACTGGGGCACTTTTTTCCCCCAGGAAAGTACCATCTCTCAGCAGGCACTAAAAATGGGTGTAAAAGTTCCCGGCGCTAAGTACTCTTTTTGGTGTGAACGCGACATAAGGGGTACTAACGGAACTAAACGCGAAAAGTACGGGGAAAAGTACTCCGGTGTGAACGCGCCTCATGTGTCCTTTTAAAATGTAGTAAAGTACCTCAAAAGTGTACCTAATTACAGTACTTAGTAAATCTACTCAGTTACTGTCCTACACTGTTCACTTTAGATTTCCTTATCAAAGACAAACAGCACACGGACAAAGTTAGTGATGACATGGTAGACAAAGTGGAGCATTTATTTGCTAAAGAGGCAGATTTTGAGAACAAAGAAAAGCAAAAACATCATGTGCTCCGGCAGAAGTGTCGACTCTTCAACAATGGCCGAGTCTTCTGCCCAAAGACTTTTTTGTTTTCTCCATCTCCGCCCCTAGCAGGCACGAAGAGGAACAGAGGGGGGGGGGGGGGGGGCAGCTGATGTCACAGGGCATGATTTCTGAGTGGAGAAGTCCTCCAAACTATATATATATTTGATTAATGTGCAATCACTTGAAAACTTGAATTAATATCAGGATGGCTTGAATTGAAAAACGGCTGATCCTACTTTTGCTTCAGTATTCGTGGACTTCTGAGTATTTTAAGAGCACTCTCGCAGAGCAGGATACTTGCCAATCATCCAAAAAGGAATCCTGCTTTAATCCGACAACTACAGGACCGAGTCTGCAATTCTATCACACACTCGAGTGATATTCAATGCACCCTGACACACAAGTGCAGGATTGGTGTATGAAGTGAGAGAAAGGGAGACAACAGGCACAGAAAGTTTTGAATCCTCACCTCCCTCCTGCTCTTTGATTCCACTCTCCCTGCCCTTATCGTCCTGCCATCGTTCTAATCTCTCTATCTCCCTCTGTCCACCTCCCCTTAATCTCCTCCTCCCCAGCCTCACCTCCTTTGTCCCTCCCCTCCTTTCTCATTATCTCCTCCCCTCACCTCCTTCGCTCTCATCCGTCTCCCGCAGTGCCCTCACTTTGAAACTTAGATTTCTCTTCTTCCTCCTGCTTATCTGCTGTCGCTCATTTCTGTGGCTGCCCGGACAGATTTACAGTTTCATACGTCTATCTGTTTTTCTCGGAGCAGTTGTCATTTTGAAATGTCGCATTTGATTTCCGACATGTTCGTATCATGTCAAGAGGCCGTGGATAATTCATAGAGGCTTGTTTCAGAGGCCTCGAACCTTCAGACAGACGTGAACATTTTATTGATTCATTTACTAAAATGTCAGCTAATTTCGACCTTGACCTCAGAGTCGAGGGCATTACTTACCCTTACTTACCCCAGTTGTACAGTACGCCTCCATTTAGACTGCCCCAAAATCAATTAGCTTTTAGTTGTCTGTTATCTGCCAATTAAATGTGGCTTTTTACTGAAATGATACTTTTTTGGTGGGGCTTGGCATCGAACCCAGCTTGAATCTGGAGTTGTTGGTTTCATACTAAAACAACACTTTTGTAAATACCTTACTTTAAAAAAAATGTACCATTTCATGTTTCATGCAAAACAAAAAAAGGCACACTTTTCACTTTTAGATCAATACTTAAGAATCATCAATCGATGAAATGGTTGTATTGTAAAAGCCTTTGCTCTCAGTGTCACAGATAATTATCTCTGAGTGTTTTAACTCCTTACCGTTCATTGCTTTTTTCCCAGCCTGCAAGGTTACTGCTTTGTTTCACTCTGCACTATTCTATTAGTGTTTCAGCCGCAAAAAGGCAGCTGTTTCGGTGGAAAACCCCGCTGTGCACTGCCTGTCAGAGTGAAAGGCAGACAGACACTGTTAGAAACCTGCAGTTAGCTCCTAACAAGACAGATAGGATCTCTCAGCAGATCAGCACTGAGCTCTAATCTAAATGCAAACTGTAAGACGTTTGAAATATAATGATATTAGGAATATGATCAGATTTGATTTCAACCTTTGGTATTTGAAGAGCTCAATACTCGCAGTTCTTCTACACAACAACCAGTTGTACTACTATTATACTTGTTGGGGTTTGCCCTTTCCTGTAGTGTTACACAGGCAGTATGAGAAATATAAAGAGCTTTTTGAACTTGAAATCATGGAGACATGTCACAGGAGAGACATACAATACAAATATGAACCTGAAAATAAGCACAATATATCCTCTTGAAGATGCATGTCATTTAATAACTTCCTCTTTAGTACAGTTCGAACAGTTAGGACTGGTTTTAAACTCCATTTTAAACATCCTCATGGACCCTTCATTTTATGGAATTGTAATTATTGTATTCTAACTGTTTTTGTGTCATTGTGTTTTGTACCCATTCATTGGCATTTTCCCATGTATCTTGTCATTTGACTATATTCTCAGATATGTTTGTTGTTTTTACATTATCATTCATGTTTGTTGATTTGTGAAGCCCTCCGAGACAAATGTGATATTGGGCTATATAAATACATTTGAATTGAATCATGCATTTACAGTACACCATCCTCTGTCCTCTCCAGATCTTCCACTACACCGGTGGGCAGGCCTATGTGGACAACAAGGGCCCCTTCAGGGACCGCGTGGAGTTCGTGGGCAACCCGGGCAAACGTGACGGCTCCATCCTGATCAAGAACCTGGACTACAACGACAACGGCACCTTCACCTGCGACGCCAAGAACCCCCCCGACATCGTGGGCCGTCCCTCCAGCGTGCGGCTGCTGGTGTTTGAGACCGGTGAGACAAAAGGAAATTCCCCAGCATGTCAAGTCTAAAGTCAACAGTGTCACATCTGTGTCTGATCAGCAGCTCTCCTCCGAGCCCATATGGCTGATGACATTTCTTCATCGAAAAGCCAACTGTTCTCAGTTGTTGTTATAATCATTCCAAACTCTGGACTTTAATCTCAATGTGCGCAAAGCATCAGACTCAAAGTGATGACCGTGTTCAGATCACTTCCTCCGTTAGGATTCCTAGCGCCTCCTCTCAAATGAAATCAATTACAATTTTCTTTATTTGAGATTGCTATCACTGCCTCTCTCTCACTTCTTTCACCCTTTCCCATCCCTTCCCCCACCTTCTTCCTGTATCCCTGCTCTCACCTCTATTCTACCTTATCTCCTTCTCTGCCTCTTCATCATTCAACCTTTATTTGCTCTCCTTGTCTTTTTCTACTTCCATCTTCCTACTATCCATCCCTTGTATTCTCATATTCTCTGCTCTCTCTTCAAACCTCCCTTCTACCCACAGTTCCAATCCAGGCTGGAGTGATCACGGGCGCCATCATCGGGGTGGTGCTGGGCCTGCTGGTGCTCATCGTGGTCATCTACTACCTGATGAGGTTCCTGGTGGCGCGTCGTGTCTTCAGCCTCAGCGTCAGGTCAGTGTCAGCGGGGGGTTTCTGCTGCCAGGGGCTGGAAGAGAGGCCGGAGCCCATCCCTGGCACCGACACCTGCGTGGCCAAGCGGGGCGTAGCTGCCATGCCACCCAATTGATTTGATTAGGCGTGTGAGCTTTTCGGATTTGGAGTCAGCGAGCTGGAAAGAGACGGATAATTATCTCTCATCTAGATTTAATCTAAAAAAAAAAAACAGTACTGCAAAGCAAGATGATTAAAAGTGGTGAAGCAGAAGTTTCTGAGTGGATTATCCACCAGATCAGGAAAATGATGGATCCATCATCTGTTTTTTTTTTACCTGTCCAATCTCCTGAGATCTTTAAGCCTTCACCACCTGGGGGGGGCTGTGTTAGAGACAGTAGATTAAGTTGATGCTCTCTTCATGATGGCTGCCAGGCAGTGCTGCCCTGTGACCACTGGAGGGAGAGATAGATTCGACATCCTGACATTGTTTTTCTTTTGTCCCCTCCAGCAAACATGGCAAGAAAAAGAGAGAGGGATCACAGGCGAGACAGGCAAGTTCCCTTCTCTCCTCCCTAAAACCATCTCCTCTTCCTCCTCTTCCTCTGTCTCCTCTCCTGACACGCTCCATCACACGAACACACCCAGTCAAACAGCAACAAGTGCAACAGCCCGCTTGCTGTCACATTCGGGCGCTAAATAGTCAAATGATGTCCTTTTTGGAGAGATTACAATGGCGTTCAGTTAGGCTCAGGAAACGTGTTGTCAGAAGGAATATTCATCCATTCTGTTGCAGCGGCGCCACATAAAAGCACACATCCAAACATGACAGTGCATAACGGCTTCATGATCACATTCCCCCCCCAATGCAAGCTCCAACATGTCCTCACACTTAGCCGGCTCGTCCTCAAAGCAACACATCAACAAACAAAATAACATGTCATTCAAACTCTGCCCGGCGAACACTAATAACAGTGTTCAAGCTGTTAACATTTGTGTGCCATCTCGGTGCTTTAAAGCCTCATACTGTCCCTCCTCCTCCTCCTCCTCCTCCTCTTCCTATCTGGTGGCCCTCACCCCTCCTTCAGCTCCCTCAGGGGGGCCGAGCAGCCAGTAAACATCCAGAGGGCAAAAATCCAACCTGCTACTGTGAAATGGCCGAGCTTTTTCTATTGCTGCATTGAATAGGATTGTGATTTGCTTGCAGCGGAGGAGAAGGCCCGTCCCTCTCCTCCGCTGCAAGCAAATCACAATCCTATTCTGCTGCTGATTTCTCTCACTGGGAGTCAAATGAAAATCTCTAGGCCTGTTATGGTCTGAGTTGTTATCAGTGGTTTTACGCTGCTGCGCGCCAAGGATTTGGGTTTTTTTTTTTTTCTCCCTCCTCCTCCTATTCCTCATGGGAGTGTGATAGCCTCAAGTGGTGGATTAATCAGACATGTTGGTGGCTTGTATTCCTTTGTAAATACAAGGCACCGGGGCAAGTTGTGTTTGATCACCCTGTGGTAATGTCGGGGCGGGGGGGGGGGGGGGTATTGTAATCGACTGCACGCCTTTGCCTGCTGATAATGAAAGAAAGGGAAGTCATGGGATTTCAGTTCAAGGCGTTCCCCCCCCCCCCCCCCCCCCCCGCGCGAATCAGAAATCAGCCTTTTGAAATGAGAGCAGAGGTGGAAAGTAACTAAGTAGATTGACTCAAGAACACTTTTGAGGTACTTAGTATTTCAAGGTTTTGCTCCTTTTACTTCTATTCCACTAGTCAGAGGTAGATCATGTTATTTTACTCAATGTTTACAGTATGTAATACCTTTAGCTACTTGTGAGCTGTATGTGAAATATAAATAGCACTTGTTGACAGTCTTCTCACAGTCTTTAGTTTCCCCTGGAGTAAAGTCACAAATTACCCTGCAGTATAATTCAAACTAGCTGCACCTTTACCAGCTTTGAGACCACTTTAAAGCACCAATCATTATAATCAAAACATATCATATAGATTATTCTGAAATGCACAATGAGTACTTTTACTTTTGGTACTTGAAGTATATTTTGACGCTAAGGTCTTTTACTTGTAACAGAGTATGTCTACACTCTGGTACTTTTACTTAAGTTCTGCGTACTTCTTCCACCTCTGGAAATGAGTGTTCTCTGAGGCGTTGGATCAAAGGTGTTTTTGTGACAGCGTGTGATTTAGCCGCCGGTATAAGCTAATGTAAAGACGGCTGTTGAGAGTGCGCCATCTTGCCCCTGTGGCTCAACCCTGAAGGGTGACACCAGCGAGAGGCCCATCCTTCCTCCTATCACAACACTCCTTCTCATCTCCCCCCCCCCCCCCCCCCCCCCCTCTGTCTTCTTCTTCTTTCTTTGTTTAGTGTCGTATGATTGTCAGGTTACTCTCCAGTTGCAGTCAGTTGCTCTCAAGTGCCTCCGGCGGGTGACAGTGCATATATGAATAAATAACTCGCCGCCAAAAGGCCACTGGAATATTTGACAATGTTGTCATTTACAGTTACTCCTCCTGCAAGTCTTGGTTTTGGAAGAAAAATATCTGAGCTCACACACTTTTTATATTTTTATGATTTTCCTTTAGTTGATTCCTCCCTTGTAGCTACGCCGCACACACAGGGCTCGTGGGAGTTTTACACCGCGCTCATAAGTGGTTGTTTGATCAAATAGCCCTTATTAGGAAGCTCTGCTGACACAACACAATTCTGTATCAGCCTCGCCGTGTGTTCGTTACTCGCTCTTTGCTGGGCTTGCACTACAAATCTCCAAAAGGGAGCGTGAGGGAGGGAGACAGAGAGACAAAGGAACCCTGTGGTGTGTGCTACTCCCCATTAGGTGGAGTTGTGGGAGAGGAGTTTACCCCGCAGCCACACACATAGGAACGCACACACACACACACACACACGCACACGCACACACACAAGGAGTTTACCCCGCAGCCACACACATAGGAACGCACACACACACACACACGCACACGCACACACACGAGGAGTTTACCCCGCAGCCACACACATAGGAACGCACACACACACACACACGCACACGCACACACACGAGGAGTTTACCCCGCAGCCACACACATAGGAACGCACACACGCACACGCACACACACGAGGAGTTTACCCCGCAGCCACACACATAGGAACGCACACACGCACACGCACACACACGAGGAGTTTACCCCGCAGCCAGACACATAGGAACGCACACACGCACACGCACACGCACACGCACACACACGAGGAGTTTACCCCGCAGCCACACACATAGGAACGCACACACGCACACGCACACGCACGAGGAGTTTACCCCGCAGCCACACACATAGGAAAGCACACACACACACACACACGCACACACACGAGGAGTTTACCCCGCAGCCACACACATAGGAACGCACACACACACACACGCACACGCACACACACGAGGAGTTTACCCCGCAGCCACACACATAGGAACACACACACACACACGCACGCGCACACAAGCACACACGCACGCACGCACACACGCACACACACACTGTACTGGAATGATAATTGAGTGCTCTCTGTATCGATCTACACACACACACACACACACACACACACACACACACACACACACACACACACACACACACACACACACACCCACACACACACACACACACACACACACACACACACACACACACACACACACACACACACACACACACACACACACACACATACACACACACACACACACACAACCCTCCCATTCTTCTTTCCATCCCCCAAATGCCTCCCCCTTTCCCTTCACTCTCTCATTCACATTCCTTTCATCCGGTCCCCAGTCTCCCTCCCTCCCTCCCTCCCTCCCTCTCTTCAGTCGCATCCTCCTCTTCCTCATCTCCCCTCCTCTGGCTCCCCTTTCTGACCATGAGAAACATCTATCTGTCTGTATTTGCCCCCCTTTCTACTTCCTCTCTCTCTCTCCGTCAGTCCTCCCCTCCTCTCCCCCCCCCCCCCTTTCCAGTTTCCCCCCCGTCCCTCCTCAGGTGTTCTGGGCTCTGATCAGCTTCGGTTCTGGACAGAAAAATCACTACCTCTCTCACTCTTCATCTACCTCTCAATCTGCCTTCCCCACTGTCTCTCTTTGGTATGCAGCGGGGGACGCAGCCACTTACCTCCCCCTGTCTGCCTCCCCACTGTACCCACATTTCCTTTTGAAGTGTGTGTGCAGCGCTGTAACAAGGGGGGGCTCTGCATCCTTCCTAAGCAGTGTGTTTACCCCGTCATTAGCGTGGGAGCTCTGCAATACAGCAACAAAAAAAACCCTGAGCCTGCCGTGGGATGCATAATGGTAAACAGCATGATGATGTATGAGAGCGTGTAAGTCTGATCGAAGGTAACGACACCGTAGCTGCAGCGCTCGCCTCGTCTTATCAGAGTGCTTTGGCACAGAGGATAATTAAAGATAATACATGTACTAATGCAATCAGTGGGGGATTATTAGTGGGAGCTTCAGTAGCTAGAAGCAGCCTAGTGTGTTTCTTTTCTCCACCGTTGAGTCACCTGACCTGCATCAGAGGATGTGTTTCAGTCAGGTGGAAGAAGTACTCAGATGCTACACTTAAGTTAAAGTGGACCTATCATGCTATATTTGAATAATATAGTGTAGGACCATACCTATATAAGGCATATTTATACTTTTTTTTTTCAAAATACCAAACAGATCATGCATTTTAGCCATGCCTCATTTTGCTCAATTTGACATTTTTTAGCTCTGTTTTTGCAAGGGCAGATTCTGTGAGAACAGCACCACCTACTGGCCTGGCATATGTACTACAGCGTCTCCAGCGCTTTCGAACGGCAATGGCCGTGGCTGTCTCCTCCTGATTGGTGGAGTTGACCCAATAGCCGTAGCGCCACTGTCCTGACGTCAGGACAGTGTTCAAATCTGGATCAGTTTTTATCAGATCCGTTGCAGCCCCTTTTTTAGAGATTTGGGTATGGAGGAAAATAGAGAGGGTTGTGTTTTCTGACACTTGGTGAGTTCCCTGGAACACCGGGGACACATATTCATGTATAAAAGACGTACACAAGTGCATTTTGCATGATAGGTCCCCTTTAAAGTACCAGAGTGTAGGAATACTCTGTTACAAGTACACGTCCTGCATCCAAATGTAACTCAAGTAAACGTACAAAAGTATTAGCATCAACATATACTTAACAAAGTAAAAATACTCATTCTGCAAATTGTCCAATTTCAGAATGATATATATGATATGTTTTATAATTATTGATGCATTAAAGTACTATCAAAGCTGGTAAAGGCGCAGCTAATGACTTAAGTAATTCTGTAAGATATTAAATCAATGTAGTGGAGTAAAAGCACACAATTTACCTCTGAAATGTAGTGGAGCAGAAGTACAAGTACCTCCAAATTGTACTTAAAGGTGGGGTAGGTAAGTTTGAGAAACCGGCTCGAGATACACTTTTTGTTATATTCCATGGAATGCTCTTAACATCCCGATAGCAATGAATATCTGAAGTGCTTTGACCAAAAATCCATAAAAAAATGTCATCTGTGGAAGCCGTAATACTGTAAAAAGTACGACCAATCATTTTAGCCGGCCCGGCTAAAATAACTGGATGGCCTACCTGCCTGTCAGCCTTCCATCTGTGCACAAACTTATCTCGTGCCCTCATTGGTCATGTGCGCGTTCGTGTGTGTTGGAGGAGGGGCTCTGTAAGGAAGTGGCAGATTTTTTCTGGCTGTGTATTTTCAAATTCTAGCACACTCGAGCTGGTTTCTCCAAAATTACCTACCCCACCTTTAAGTAAATGTACTTAGTTACTTCACATGAATGGTTTCAGTCTCCAAACCTCATCCAGCATGCTGACTGTAACTCTTCACCACAGCCCGTAGTTCAACCTGTAGAAGAGTATTACAAGTGCACAGACGTTGCATTAAGTGAGCATTATTGTGATTCTTTAGAATAGGTTATCTCACAGGCTAATGCAGCTATTGTAAAGTTAAGTGTTATCTTGACCTTATCTCAGATCCGTCCACTTCCTCCTGATGGATCTGTTGTGAAATGAAGCTCTACTTCCTTCCTACTTTACCGTTCATAGATTTCTTCTTCGCGATGTTTTAGACATTGAACAGACAATGTACAGAATGAGTGGGAGTGAATGGGTTAATCATACCAGTGTAACAGTAGATGAATGGAGGCTGAATGTCAGACTTTAAAAAGATATCATATAGCCAGTAAAGCAGGTCCATTCAAGGCTACAGCTATGGTCCCTTTATTTGGCAGTTAACTTTAATTATTCATCTAACATCCCAGCTGTATGGTTTGTAAGCAAATATTTCACTTTGACAGGAAGTTCCCCTCTCTAAATGTGATGGGGTTTAATGCATTGAAGTGCAGTTGTATTATTTTATGTAGAAAGTGTCTCAAGTGTATAATATTTCAGGGACCCAGTATAAGTGAATGGTTTGATTTGCAGGACAGAAAGTGTTAACAATGGGTGTCCCAGTTAAAAACACGAGTTTATTTATCAACAATATAAGATGCAGAATCATCAAGAAGGACCTAAAGACTTTCAAATAATTATCTCTTTAGACAATATATGTACAAAAACACTCGAGTGAAAGAGATAATAGAATAATCATTAGTATGACATTACATCTGAGGTTACAAAACATACTTTAAAGCAAGAGCAGCTTTATTTAGATATGAAAAAGGAGAGATTTGAATAATGCAGATGAGGTTACAGAGAGCAGTGTTAAATCAGTAAACAGCCTTTTGATGACTATATTTCATTGTGTTGCAAGTCAGAACTACACACTGAATTATAGTCATTTGAATAATACTTACATTACATACCTAAAATGAAGCTTTAATGACTGCAAACTCACCTTTATTACCCACTGAAATAAGATCAACACTAAGGGAAAATAAGAGGAAAATGTATCAACAATTAGTCGAATTTAAAGTTATCGTATAACAACACAAGTAGTCAAATCTAGGGCTGCACAATTAATGGACATGTTACTAAATCTGGAGTGCACTATTCAAATAGCAGAAAGCACAATATTTAGCTAAAATATGGAAATAAACTTATCTGAATGGTGGTGGAGCTGCAGAAAAGTCCCAGCCTACAAATATTTGTCTACATACTTAATAAAAAATCCTTGTTTGGAACAGATTGTCCTAAAATGATAATGTAATTAATGTTTTAAAAATGATAATTTCCCCTTCATTTGCTAAATTAATGCCACAATTACAATATCAGTGAAAATCATAGCAATTAGCAATTTTTTTCAAATCATGCAGCCCCATAAGGACCCAATCTAGGATACTATGTGTGCTTGATTGTGTGAGCGTGTGTGTGTGTGCGTCTGTGTGGGTTAGTGTGTGTGCGTCTGTGTGGGTTAGTGTGTGTGTGTGTGTGTGTTTGATCGATGGTCACTCAGTTGTCACAGGTGTTTTGGAGCCTGCCTGCCACTGTGTCCCATCCTAACGCATGGTTACCTGTTTTGTCGCCCCCTTACAGCTCTGGACACCACCCCCCCTCACTTGCTACCCCCTCCCCTAAAAAGGACTGTCTCTCTACCTCCTCACCCCTCTCTCTCTCTCTCTCTCTCTCTCTCTCTCTCTGTGTATCTGACTCTCCTCTCCTTCACCTAAATGGGTTTTTTCTCTCCTCTTCACACAGCTCCACCTGTTAACTCCATGTCTCATCCTCTCCACTTTAACTCACCCACCTCCCCCCTCCCCAGGGTGACTAGGTGTCAACATGTGGGACAAAGAGTATGTCTGTGCGGGACAATGTGGGGCAAGTTAGTGGGATGCTAAGAGGTAGTTTAGATTTCGATAATGTCCAACTATTACATTATAAATATTAATAACAACACCTTAGAAACCATGCAAGTGAGTGACCTAAACATAATTTGTTTGAATGGATTACATTTCCAACAAAACGTGTTAATGACACATTATATTTTTTTGAATATAGAACTGGAGGAGAAAAACAAAACAACTTCTATACCAATTTGTAAATCCTTTGCCAGACTTTGTTGCTTGATTGACATCCGACACAACTAATGATGAAAGCCCTCTTTTGCTTTCTTAACAGCCATTGGATAAAAGCCAAGTTTTGACTGTCTGTGAATGTCAATCACAAAACGATACGAGTAATGACATTTGTTTTGGACTCAGTTCTGCAGTTCCTTAAAAGATAAAAAAGAAATAATACTACATAGTACACAATAAAAGACAACAGCAAATACACACATGACTTACGCCTCATTTACACAGTTAGCAACTTACGGACAATGACGCCCTATTGCACAAATCCCATGGACGACATTTCAACTACAATCAAATGCAAGACGTTTTCTCAATCTGTGGGAGGCGGGACAAATGATACAAAATGCTGTGCAGTCCCTCACCCAGAGAGACACCTGGTCACCCCCTCCTCTCACTGTCTCTCTGTTACCCTCACGCTCCTTTCCTCCTGAAGTGACTCTCCTCCCCTGTTCTCCCCCCGACCCCCTCTCCCTCCTCCCCCACAGGGCCCCGTGCCTACCGCCGACCCCACCAAGGTGAAGGCGGCCTCCTCGGAAAAGAAGAAGGAGTCACGCAAGGATAAGAAATAGGATACGGGGAGGGGCTGGGGCCGACTGCTGCTCCAGCCCGTTTACCTGTCGCTGGCGAGGTCCAAGCCCAAGCATCAGCAGCAGAGAACCATAGCCAGAAAGACAGAGGGTGTGGGGGGAGGGGAGGAGGGCCGGGTGCTGATGACCATTGATCTGGAGCTGACCCGGAAAAATGGGGAGGAGAAGTCAGCCGGTGAGGCGGGGAGAGGGAGGTCCGCACCGCCTGGCTTCCTCTCCCGCCTCGCCAGCCAGCTCACCTTCAAAAAGTAAAAACCAATAGATGAGAGCAACACTTTTTCCTCTAGGCCCCGCCCCTCTTTTGGGTGAAAACAGTTTTTGCCAATTACACTTAAAAACATTAATAGTAGGCCTACTGCGCCTTTTCTCTTCTTCCAGGAGCCCAGTTACGATGGTCAGCAAACAATTACAAAATGTCAACGTCGATTTATGGTTTAATTGAAATCAATACTGGATCAATGTCTGGTCAGTCTGTCTGTGGACGAGTGGCAGGCAGCAGGCTAACACTCAAACACTATAGATCAGGCACAACTAAGACGCTATAATACAGACACGATACAGAATAAATTGGAATATATTATAGACCGTTATTGTCATTTCTGAATTAGATCGTTTCTTTGACTGTCCATTTTTCTTAGAGGAAGTAAAGAAACCGTAACTCTGGATATACGACACATCAGCTTTTGGGCATGATGAAATTATTGTTTACTGCTTGGCAGCGATTCCTTGTTTTTAACCGAAAAGTGGCGGGCCCTTCATTTTTTGAGTTGCTCTCATCTATAGGGACGCAAGGGGGGAGGGGGCCGTCGAGGATAAGAGAGTGGGAAGAAGAGAGTTAAACCACAAACCTACTTCACAACCTGAATACACGAGTCAAATCATATCTGCTCTTGTCACAGGCTAATGACTGCAGCGTTATGGTTTGAGATCTGAGATGTGGTGATAATCTCTCACACCACTCGGCACCCCCAGTTTCTTTTGTCAGGTCATAAGATATGCCATTTGAAGCGAAGACCCTACGACGGCCGGGTTTGATAACAAAATCTAAAAAAGCTGCTTCCCGGGTTTTGCCTTTCTGGTTCCTTCATTGTGATCCTATCCGCCGGAAAAAAAGCTTTCTCCTAGTGCGTCCGATACGCATCACGAATCCCGAGCTGCGGGGACAAGCCAATTTGCTTTTTTCCGGAGGCGACCTGTCAAACTAACTTTCTCCCCTCTACGCTGATCTCCATTCTTTCCCCTCTCCAATCCCATCTCTTCCTCTTTCACTGTGAATTTTCTTGTTAATTCAAATTATAGAATTGATTTATATGCTAACTGCTCTATCCTGTTTCTCTTTCACTTCCCTTCCCTCTTTTTCTTCTCCTTTTCTCTCTCCTGTAGATAAAGGTCTGACTTCTCCATGACTGCCTTCACTCCTCTAGTCTGCTCCTTCCTTTTCTGCCCAGCCTGATGCAACCCCCATTATTTCCCATTATCTCTTCTCTTTCAAGACAGCACTGGCTATACGAATAGTCCCACTACATCAGTGGCAACAGTGTCAAATAATCTTTTACTACGGCTGATTAGAGAGCCTGAATGCACTCATTGGGCGAACTGTAAAACTGTTTAAGGCCTAACAACGCCCATAACTTCCTTAAGAGGAGCCCGAAAGACATCGCTCTGTGTTTAAGGCCCCCTGAATCTCCCCCCCCCCCTTAATGTTTACGACTCAATCACACACCAATGCGAGTGCACTCTGCACTTCAGATGGAGCAAAAGAGAGACGGAGTGGAGTGTGATAGCGGGAGAGAGAAATATGATTCCTGCTCTCAGCCGGGTCGTAGATAGAGGTTCAAGCCCTGGAGCTCGGGGTGATTCAATCGTCTCACATTTGAGCTAATGGAGGTTGTCGCCGTGTCCCCCGCCCTGGCTAAAGGGGGCTATTTCTGGACCTATAAGAGCGTAAGGGCTTACTGTAACAGCTGCACATTTTTCAGCCAGCAGGGGAGGGGGGGGGGTAGAGAAAAGAAAGAAGTGTTGTTTGTGTCCGTGTTGACTCGACGGGCGGCGACTGACAACCTGAAATGACGTCACGACCCGGAGGGCTGGCGGTTGTCTCACGAGTCTGACGAAAAGGCTTACCAGGAAGAGGTGCAGCTTCTGCGCTCTCAGTTATTTTAGGTCCACTTAATCCTCTCACACGTTTCTCCTCACCAAACCCAGGGCTAATTATTTGAGCACTTGCTGGTAACAAGATATCTCTCTCTCCATCTCCCTCCCGGCCTCCTCTGCCGTCTTCCTTCCTTTTGTTATTCTCTCTTCATCTCCACTCCCATCTTTGGGATTCATCTCCTCCCTCCAACCCCCCTGTTTCATTCTCTCTGTCCTTACGTCTTTGGCTTCCTCTATCTCTTCCTCTTCCTGTCGTCTTTAGTGACTCTGCTCTGCATTATTCCCCGCGCAGAGAAAAGGCCTATACACAATCCACTCCTCTCTTTAAGCCTCTCCTTATCTGACTGCCAGGCCTACAGCTCAATGCTCTGCTCCTATTCCTTCTCTCTTCTGCCCTTCCTCTTCCTCCTCCACGTCCTTCTTCTTCTCTTTATTAAACTTGATGACGGACATCTCTCTCCCCTCCCTCCGGCTTACCAAAATGATCGACGAACGCCCTCTCACTTGCCCTTCAAAACGCCACCTCCCCCCCGAGGCATGTCCCCTGCCAGTCCGCCTTCTTCCTCTTCCGTCACTGTGTTGTTTCTGCCGGTTCAAATCCCAAAACACTCGTCCTATGACCCTTACCGGCAAAGGACAGAAACACATGGGCAGAAATCGACCTTTTGCCAAACAGAAACTTATAATCTAGCTAGCTCTCCTTCGGTCGCAAATAGGACGCGTTTTATGTATATGTGTGTCTAGTTAAGAGTTTTAAAAGTGAGATTTGATATAAGCAAAACAAGTATGTCACCCTAAGTAAAGCAAATGTAGACATTGTTTCCATGTGTACTCGAAAACACATGGAGAACATGTTTATCGAAGCAGGGAAGAAATGTAATTTTATTCAATAGAATATGTTGCTATATTTCTGACCTTGTGTGTTATGGAAGGTGCTGTGTGGCTGTCTCTCTGGTGTACGTTTTATTTTGAGGCGAGAGAGAAGATGAGGGGTGGATCATGGTTTCTGTTCGCCTCAGATTCAGCAAGATGTGGCTGGGGAGGAAGGTGCTTGCTGTGGGAGAAAGCATGAGAGGAAGAGACTTACCAGGCGTGTTAAGGCAAGCCACAAATCCATATGTATCACCACGGATCGTCTTCTCTTACCCCAGAGCTTTCTTTTAAAGGTGCTCCTTCCCCAACCCTGAGCCAAAGATGGATTGCGATCTGGTGCTTGATATGCAGGGTGGATAGTGTAGACTTGAATGTTCCTTTAAAATTCATAACGGCAAAAAGGTGCTAAAATCCACATATTTATAACTGGAGATCTGTTTCACTAGTCGCTGTTTAACTGTCCAGTCACATGGGTTAGTCAGAATGTTTTTCATTAAAGCCACACAGACACCTGACATAAGACAAGCCGCATTAAAATGCCTTTTAAAAATATGTTGTATGTATTATGAACTGCATTGGTCTTATTGCACAATAACCTTCCTTTATTTAAAAAGACTGGAGCTTCTTATGTTTTTTTACATTTGTTTTAATGCTTGTGATAACTCCAGACCATTAACAACTTTTGATGACTCTGTCTGTATAATATGTTGTAAAGAGAACGTAAATAAAAAAGCCCGAGCGCAGCTGTTATCAACAGAAGACAAAGTAAACCCAGCTGAAAATGTCTGCAGTCTTCTTTCTTTCAGCTCCAAGTCCCATGCATTGTGTAAATCTGTCACGAATGTCTCTGCCAAGAAACAATTTCATGAACTTTTCAAAAGAAGAAAGTCTTCCCAAAATTAGATATCCACCTTTTGGAATATTTAAATACTCTGATGGATGGCTTGAAAGCAAAACTCATTACAGAATAGCACCGGCCTTATTAGCTATCCAAAGACATTTGCATACACAATAAGAACATTTTAGACGAGGTTATCTGGGAGTACTGAAAGCTGAACATTGACCACCAGGTGTTTTTCTTTTTACTTCAAAAGGAATTTGGTTTTGATATTAAACATTAAAGCTTTATCACGAGGAGAAAAATGGTCTCACCTCACCATGCCCTTTGTTATCCAACTGCCACAAAGTAATGATGATGAACGGAAAATAAATGCTCGGTGACCATTCACAACCTTTTCGCATTTTACGGGGTTACGAAATGAGGTATAATTTTTAGAGAGGCTTAATTTTTTCTGACTTAACTGGCAGGCTGGGTTCAGTGAGAATACATAACCTTTTCAGAAATGTTCTGCTTCATATTCAGACAGATACATGACTCACAGTGCAACCAGTATTTATTTAATGACCACTGAACTGCTCAGAGAGGATGGCGTGTCACTTTCGATGCTATCCTTTGGAGCCACCAGTTACCATGTGTATCATTTATGTAATTACAGCACCTTCACAAGAAAGATTGACACTTTAGGAGGTGTACATATTTGCTTTGTTGTTGAGAGTAGATGAAAATATGAACACTACTCACGTCTCGGCATTAAGTAAGGAACAAAGACTATTAGCAAAGCATTAAGACTGTAAAATAGGTCACCTGGTTTACTTAAAATATAAAAAAATATGCATAGCAGCACACCTAAAACTCAGTAGTTAACAAACTGTATCTTGTTTGTTTATTTTGTACACAGACAAAGGAAAAAATGTATAATTTGAGGCTTTAGTGCGAGTTATGTAAGGCTGAGTGTGCATATGTTTCTTTCCTGAGTGCAAGAATCTTTTTCAATTGTTCTTAATGAGGAATAAATGTAAATGGCCGCCAAGAGAAAAAGCACTGCACCCAGTGTCTTTTATCAAAGCGCTCTCAGTTTGTTTTGCGGTCACTCCAAACGCTTGTAGATCATTTTCAAAAAGCTCTTGGTTGTCACTGACGCTTCTATTTAAGATATACTTTGGTTGGAGAAAAGATAATGTCAAACAAATAGATAGTAGCCCAAAAAGATAATAAAAAGGCAATGTTGTTTTATAATACTGAGGTTCGAGCAGTGATATGTTGTCAAATTGCCATAGAAACTAAACAGTGGGAATGCTTTTGAAGCCCACCTTTTTTATTAAGCACTCCCCCGCGGCATGCTATATGGACAGAGACATTACATTGCATTTAGCTGACGCTTTTATGCTTTATAGCATTTAGAGACCCTGTATCTTTACAAACAACCACCAGGCAACATAACATAACTGCACCTTAAACCACAAATTGTAACATTTCTGAAGCTGTAGAGAGAGAAAGTCAAATACCGAGCTGTATAGTCCATGTGTTTTCATAAAACTTTGGACAGAGCCAAGCTAGCTGTTTTCCCTTTGAGCTAGCTAGGCTAAGCTAATTTCCTCCTGGCTCAAGCTCCATATCTATCTCACACACATGAAAGTTACATCCATTTTTCTTTCCATCTGAGCCTTGGCAAGAACTTAAATAAGCATATTTAAAAAAAAAATGTATCTGACAAAATCTCAAAAACGTATAAAAAGGGGCTTTAAAGCAAGATGTTTTTAGCTTTTGCTGAACAGAAGCCACTGTGGCCACATGTCACACATACCGGATAAACATGCACTGAATTTCTAAAGTTCCTCTCTGGTAAGTTGCTAGAATTTCTTTTGTCACATGCCATTGAAATGTTCACCTGTGACATGTTAAAATGTATTGTTACAGTAGCACAAGTAAGCAAATACTCATGTGATGTAAATTACTGAAGAATATCAAAAGTAAGCTAACATTAGCTACTGCTAGGCTACATCCCACTAGTAAGGCTATAGGAGTGAAATACCTGAGTAAATTGACTTAATTAAGGCTTAATTTGTTGGCTTTTTTTGTAGGTTGAGGTTTGTATTATTACTTCTTTCAAAAGTTACAAAGACCACTTAAGTTAGAGGCAATACTATTAGCTTAACACAGTTTTAGCTTTCTTCTCTTATTTCTTGAGCCATTGAGGTTAAAATTGACATATTTAGTAACCTATCTTTTTTTATGAAGCTGAGAATAAATGTTTTATCATACTGTATTATTAGAAACGTTAATGGGAAACGTTTTTCACTACAGACATGCTAAGCACTTTGTAATAAGGACAGCTTAATAACCACAGAGAGGCGAAGTCCCTCCCCTTCTGGTGGGACTCATGGGACCTTATTTCGGAAAAAGTTTGTATTGAAGTCAATGGAGAGAGAAAGATTATCTTTCTATCCCGTTTTAATTGTGCCACGAATTACACATATGATGTTTGTCAATCTTAAATAATAATTTCCATGTCAAAAAAGTCACAGTTTGTCGTAAAACTGTTGAAATATAAGACTATGAAAAATACGCAACTAGAAAGACTACAAATCCCAGAATCCCGGTCCCGCATGCTGGCTCTTACGGAACCGACTAACTCCCCTTGTGTGTATGTACAGCTCTCAACATGCCCAGACTTGTAGTGATTTTCACCTCTTTTAATATTTTTCGCCTCATTCTGAAAGAAAGAAGTGAAATTTGCCAACGTGACGGCCGTCTTGGTGTGTGGTGCGAGACGGGAGATGTAGTTCATTGAGCGGTTTCACACAAAAAAAGTGTTACTTCACAGTTTTACGACACATTTTTATTTTTTTGACTTGTAAAATTATCTTTTAAATTGACAAACATCATATGTGTAATTCGTGGCACAATTCAAACGGGATCGAAAGATAATCTTTCTCTCTCCATTGACTTCAATGCATAACTTTTCCGAAATAAGGTCCCATGGAGCTCAACCGGAAGGGGAGGGACTTCGCCTCTCTATACCCTTTAGTGTAGAAAAAGTCAACCCAGTCTCACAGCATTTCGTGTTATAGTCACGAAATTAATCTATTGATTCGTGTTCACCAACACGAGTTTCCCATTGTTTTCGTGTCACACAGAACGATTGTAAATAATAACAAATTAGAAGGAAAAAAAGATTTAAAAAAATACTGATTTCAGTATTCTGACACAGAACGATTTTAGAAGCAATGTATTTCTATTGGTATTATGTTTCGTGCCTGCACCAAATAATAACAAATTAGAAGGAAAAATACAGATTTCAGTATTCTGAGGCTCTGAGCCCCATTTATTTTCCTCGTGGACGGCGAAAAAAGTCCGACATTATACAATTTAAAATAAAAATAATAATCGCGGCTTGATATTGATTAAGAAAATGTTTTTATGAACCACACAGCTTCTGGTCTTCCAAGACCCGACCGGACAAAAAGACGTGGTGCAGGCACGAAACATACTACCAATAGAATATTGGTTGGTGAACACGAATCAATAGATTCAATTAATTTCGTGACTATAACACAAAATGCTGTGAGACTGGGTTGAAAAAGTAGAAGAAACCTTGAACAGGAGCCAGTTGCCCATAAGTACATTAAAGTTTCAGCTCATACAGGATTAAAAGCATGCAATGTAGGAAGAGTCAACGCTTTAAGTCATTGGCAACTTGTGAGAAGACATTTGGTCGACTACTTATTTGACACGGTATCATTCGCTGCATCTGTTGCGTGGGTGAAGTGTTCATGACCCGCCTTATGTTAGAAATATGTTGCTAATTGTGGTGTAAAACAAGTCACTTTAAATTCAAGCAAAAGAAACAACTGATCTTTGAGGATCAATTAACAAACGATTAAACATATTTTTACGGGATTTTTTTGTTGCAGAACAGACCTAAGGATTCAGTGTTTAGTATCAGAAAAAGCTGAATATAAATGTTATTTTATATCTTAAAGGGCCAATATATGTCCCTCATTATCACATTTGCACTGTATGTTATGTGGAGTGCAAGGGTTTGTTTCTGGTGTTGACAGCATTGATTGATGGCTGTTGTTTTCCATGCAACCATGTGTGTTGGTGGGGGGGGGGGGTGGAGAATGTGTAGCAGGTACACACACACACACACACACACACACACACACACACACACACACACACACACACACACACACACACACACACACTAAGAGAAACCTCCACTGTGTGAGAGTTTGGGTGTAAAGAGGCCATGGTATAGGAGTATGTAGAGAGGAATGGCATGGCTTAGGTTACCCTGACAGGAGGGTGCAACTAAAGGAACAGCGTGTTTGGTGAGGGGGTGCCAGGCCCAAAAAAGCCACAAGTGTCTTCCACACGTGGGGGGGGGGGGGGAGGTCTCAGCTGTGGCCCCTGAGCACTGTCCTTCACATTATAACCTGCCGACGTCTGGATATTCAGCATGGGTAAAGGGGTAAGTGATTTTCATTTAAAAATATCTATCATAAAGTGCTTGTTTGTTTTGTCGCTCTCAAACCGTTGCTTCCTGTTGAAGCTGTTGTAGTGCATGACTCAGTTGCTGTGCTCCTACTGTGACTTATATACAGTAACAGCATATGGCTTGGATATGCATCATGGAAAACTACTGAGATTTCTAAACCCGTCTGCAGCGCTGGATTTTCCTCAGACTGCTGCTGTTTATTTGTTTTCTCTAAAGACAGTATCATTTCAGGATGATGGCTTTTCTTCTAAATACGTTTTGTTACCGGCTTGCTGTTTATTTGGGTAATTACGCAATTTTGTTTTTTATTCTCTCCATCAGGCCCATTCCATTTAGCTTTATGGGGGGACAGGCTGGTAATCTTCCTCACACACAGTGGGGGGAAATTGCTATGCGAGACACATTTCAGGCACTCCACCGACTCTATGCTCCGTCTTTGGCTTTTTTTGATTACTTTTTCACTGTGTCACTCGCTCGCACTCTGTGTGTATCCCTCCTTCACTGACATGCACACGTGCTGCTAAGAGAAGACTGACAGCAGCAGATGATTCCCATGATGCACCATTCTTCCAACTGTTCATGACACACACACACTCGCTCTCAGGCACACAAATAAGGGAACTCTCACGATGAGAAAAATATTTTCTCCTCCATATTCAGTGAATGGTTTGCCAATATTGCCAGGAGATAGAAATGAACCGGCATACACACAAGTCTATTGTGCTTACACTGACTCTTGTAATACGTGGCTGAGAATGTAAATGGCTAGACACAATGTGGCTACAAGCACAATAACCCAGTTTGTTTTTGTTGTGGAAGTTTAGGATAATGTGTAATCTCTCTCTCCCTCCTTCCCTAGTTTGGTGCCGAGAATATGGGGAAGAAGAAAAGGAAGGAGAGGGATTTGGATGAGCTGAAGAAGGAGGTGTCCTTGGTAAGAAAAATAAGCTGTCACTGCTCCTCCCCACACTGATTGATTCTATCGCTGCTCCCAAATAGTGTTACGCCAAAGACACCGGGATATTTAACAGGGAAAATGAAAACAGTGGCCAGTAAACAAAAAGGCAATCCAACCTGCTTAGTGTTGTCGTGTGTAGATGAGCCTGTCCTCTTCTACCGCTTCCACCAACCCTCTGGCTGCTCTTCTTTGTACTCAGAAAGATGCTGAATAATTTGTGGGCCACCAGCAGTGTAGAGCAGCGTCTTTTGTCTTGTGCTGTATCCCTTTGAGGTGCTGTCAGAACGCAGCCAAGCGATGCCCATGAAAACTGGGTCTACGTTTTGCTGCACGCACTATCTCTGATAAAGCAGCTCTTGTCAATTATCAAGTTGGCCTGTTGACCTATTAGAGGAAAGAAATCCTTGGATGCTGTCAACACTTACAGCGTTGTTCGGGGCTTTAGTGTCCACTTTCATCAGTCTGTTTCATGTACTTCTTTCATTGAGTGATTTCCTACATTCCCCCCCCCCAGTGTTCCTTTAAACAACCATCAGACAATGGCTGATCAATATTGGTTGTAAGGGCATACAGTATAAATAAAGCCTAACCAGTGAACAGATCTGTGAACACTCGGGCATGTCGTTGACGGTGGCCAAATCACTTTCGTTGTGGTCCTCCGAGGGGACTGTTTGTGAAGAATTTGATGGATTTCTCCCCGTCTTATTTTTGAATGAACAAAGCAGCCCTTCATGCTGTGGGACTGACACCTTCCTGACAGCTGCTAGCAGGAATCTGTGTGGCTACAGAACCAAGCTCCATTTCAGCTACAGGGGAAGTCTCGAGGTGCAATATGCAAACATGCCACCAATCAGAATCAGAAATCATTTATTTATCTGGTAATTAAGATAAGTACAGCTTTACAAAAGCAAAAAGACAGTGCAGATGAAAGACACAATTAACAAAAGGGGCTAACGTTTTTTGTAAATTTGCGAAACACAGATGTAATAGAATAAAATAGATACATACCATGGTAGAAATCAGTTGCAGAATATTAAAGGGGACCTATCATGCAAAATGCACTTTTGTACGTCTTTTATACATGAATATGTGTCCCCGGTGTTCCAGGGAACTCACCAAGTGTCAGAAAACACAACCCTCTCTATTTTCCTCCATACCCAAATCTCTAAAAAAGGGGCTGCAACGGATCTGATAAAAACTGATCCAGATTTGAACACTGTCCTGACGTCAGGACGGTGGCGCTACGGCTATTGGGCCAACTCCACCAATCAGGAGGAGACAGCCACGGCATTGCCGTTCGAAAGCGCTGGAGACGCTGTAGTACATATGCCAGGCCTGTAGGTGGTGCTGTTCTCACAGAATCAGCCCTTGCTAAAACAGATCTAAAAAATGTCAAATTGAGCAAAATGAGGCATGGCTAAAATGCATGATCTGTTTGGTATTTTGAAAAAAAAAAAGTATAAATATGCCTTATATAGGTATGGTCCTATACTATATTATTAAAATATAGCATGATAGGTCCACTTTAAGGTAACTGAACTAGCAGCCAGAATTAGAATAAAACCAAAAATCTGAAAACAGGAAAATTAACCATCAAAACAATGTTTAAGGAATACTTTCCCTTGAAATTGCCAATTGGTGTATGAATAACTCACCTTGTGTTCTCTTGTTAAAAGAATACCAAAAAAAAACACTTGCACAGCTAACCGTGCTTCTGGGGACTGATTATGAATACGTGTTATTACTAGTAAGGTTGAGTGAAAATGCATGTTTTTGGGTAATATAAGTGAGCACACAACTCGGATTATAATACACACATACAGTGTTGTTGTTGTTAAATGCAAACACCCATACACTTCTTTAAGACTTGCCTCTGATTTTTGATTATTTTCGAGGCATTCGAGAAAAATAAAGTATCTCTTCACAAATTCAAAGAAACTTGATCAAATTGATATACAAATGCTTCATGGGGTGACTTATTCCATTAGGCAGTATTTTGCAGTCTTCGAGTGGTCAAGTTTTTACAGCTGGAGAACAAACTAACTAGTGCTGAACTAGAGGTTTGCTCCCTTCTAGTTCAGCACTACTCAGAGATTCAACGATTCAGGAGAGTGCACCTCACTGGTTGACCTCTTGACCATCTGTCATGGGAAATAAATAATGTATATATATATTCCCTGGATCCATGTCTGCTATAGAGAATAAAATATTTTCTCAGTGAGATGGAGATGCCCTCCCGATCTATATGACCCTGGCTTGTTATTAATAATTCCCTTTACAGCTGCAGCCATGCTGCCTCAGCGCTCAAAGCAAAACGTTGAATATTTGGCTGTAAAATTATATGTACAGTTTCCCATTTATTTTATGTCATTGACAAATTACCTTAGAAAACAATGTTACTGGCCAATTACCATTATACCAGATTCTATTCAGTGTTTCTGTTCCCTTGAAGAACAGATTAAAACAACTTTTCTCTGCCTACAGGACGACCACAAACTCACTTTGGAGGATCTGGGAAAACGCTATGGAGTGGACCTCACACGGGTAACAACACACAAACAATCTCATTTACACATGCACATAAACACACACACACACACGACAATACCGCTCACAGAGATGTAATCTGTGTGTGTCGGTTTGTGTAAGCAACATCCAAACTGAGACCAAACATTTCTTTGGTCAAGTTTGATCCACAGCAGCGTCCTCCGCTCACCTTGAGCCTCATTCATCTTTAATCCCTCAATCACACAGATGCACACACAGACATACACACTTTGATGCAACGACAGACAGAATCGAATACATCACACCATTTTTTTATGCCGTAAACACATTTGCTCCGTACCTTAAGTTTGACATTGCAGCTGAAGTGAAACTGATTTTATCTTTTTGAGATTAGTGTTGAGAAAAATATTAAACCTTGGGTGCTCCAAAAATATCACAAGCTTTCAAAATGGCAAAGGAAACCTGCTTAACCTCTGGAAAAAATAGCCAATTTCTGTGTTTTTTGACATTGTATCTAGATAAATGAACTACAAATAGATGCATAATTTGAACATGACACTATTAGGAATTAAATGATGAAAAATATCAATAAATCCAGCAGTTTTGTTGCCTTAACCTTAGTAAGAATATTCTCCCAGTTTATTATACCCATAGTGTTAAATAGGCCAAGCAGGAATACTTTATGTTTTGCAACTGTAGCAGTAAAATAGCTTTTTAAGCCATGGTGAAAATGGGGTCGTTGTGTGTTGAAGATTCCTAGCTGTTGGGAAAATAATGAATGTAGTCTTCCAATATCAGAGTAGCACATGATAACAAAGGCCCTACTGTACGTAGCTGTGTACATGACAGGATGTATGATTACCTAGAAGAGCATCAGGACTGTTTGAGGCATATGACAGCTGTGTGATTAACATGATGATTCAGCCTCGATGGAGATAGACATGTGACAAGCATGATCATTTCTGACGTGGAGCTAATCTGAACTAAACATTGAATACTGCTTTGAACCGGTATTCCTCCATCTTGTGACTGTGTAACTCCCTCTCTTGGATATCAGCATGTGAAGGACACTGTTCTGGAACTAGTCGTACCAAATGCTCTGTATGTGATGACTACTTCCATTCCTGAGAGGATAATAAAAACATGTATCCTGATATTGAAGCTCAAGCTGGTGACGAGTAATATTTTTCTAACAGATGCAAAAAAAGGAGACTCATTCTTAAAAATTGCTCTCCCTCAGGGCCTGACCAACGCCAAAGCCCTGGAGGTTCTGGAAAGGGACGGTCCGAACGCCCTGACCCCCCCGCCCACCACCCCCGAGTGGGTCAAGTTCTGCCGTCAGCTCTTTGGCGGCTTCTCCATCCTGCTCTGGATCGGTGCCATCCTCTGCTTCCTGGCCTACTCCATCCAGGTGGCCACAGAGGACGAGGCGGTCAATGACAACGTGAGAAACTGCTTGTAAAACATGCACACATGTACGAGCACACACCTCACATATTAATCACTCACAGGCACACAGAGATGCAGGTGCATGGGCAAAGACAGCTGCAGGTATAAAACAGGTACAGGAGACAGAAATAGAGACATAAACATGGACATATCCACGCTTAAATGATTGTATGGTTTTGTTAATTTGAGGGATTTGGTCCGGTCACTTACCAAAATGCTTAAAATATTATATTTTCAACCTCGAAATATACATTACGATATGGTAAACATATGCAAAAATCACACATTACTGATTGAATTGACGTACAAATGCGATGTTCTGCATTACATCCAACAAAACTCTTCTTCCATGTAAAACTAACCTTTTATTTCCATGTCTAAATGTAGGTTCTGAATCTAGTTGATTGATTGAAGTTACTGAAATCAGTCATGGTCGGTTCCAGGGTTGTGTTTTAGGCATATCCAGGAAGAAATATAGATATTCTCAATTAAGGAATACTTCATTTTCTCCGAAGCTAATTCCCTCTGAAGCAGCATCTTAACAAACCTAATATTAAGCTTTCTTTCCCTGCATGTTGAATAATATTCCAATAGGTTCATACATACACATTTCTGAATTACATTTAACAGTTATGGAGAGTTTCAGCCAAGCATGTCCCTCAATAAAAGTTTATACTGCAGCTTGTGTAATATTGGTATTGGCTGCGTAAAAATGTATTCTGAGAAAGATTTATCCTCCAAGTTAAACCAACCCTAAATAGCTCAGTTGCTATTTTGGACAACAGATTTTTGCAAATGATATGATCATACCATCTGTCATTAACATTTTAGTTCCACCAAAAATCAAGAAATCATATTATAAAGTTCATGAAACACATTTGGCATCCTTAAACCGAATCGTTAACCTTCCACCAGGGACCAGAAAGTGTTTAAATACTTAATTTTGGTGATTTCCTTACGGTTTCTCTTCTTGTGGGGAGATTATTCATTATGACCTTTACTTAATCAGAATGTCCTCTTGATATCTAAATCTCCTTCCCGAGAGTCCTTGCCAAAATGGCAACACAATTAGGTCACATTTACCAACACACAGCCAGCATCCCTCAAGGAAATACAAAAAATAGTGAAGCAGGACGAAAAGGAATAGCATTAAAATTGAAAAGCAACGAAAACATAAAAAACACATTAAAGCTCGCCACTATTTGATCCTCGTAAGTAGAGAATTACAAATACACAAAGACATAGAGCCCGCCTCGGAGAATGTGACGTAAAATCATCCGCCGTCACTGGCATTAGCAGCGATAAATACTCAGACCACCCGCTGTGCAAATGCAGCCAAGCAGCCATCCATACTGCACTTTATGACTCTGAGTTATTACACAATCATCATTCGGCACTCTCCAAGCCCCAGACAGCATTAAACCCTTGCATAATATACAATAACATACTGTACAGATAGACACGCGCACGAACACACGTGATAAGTGTAATCTCCCCCGTTTAATCTCGGCAGCGAGTATGTACAGCTGGATGCTCTGCGACTTCAAAAGCCCCGACTGCCTGCAGATTTGGCACTTTGAGCATTTGCATAATGTACAAGCAGTTATTTAAGAATAAAATCCCCCCTAACAGGACTTCACACAAAGCTTTGTTCTCACTTAAACCCATTTTTAACATTATTTGATGTATCTATTGAGGAATTGTCTTCAGTGTGAGAAAGAAAAGGTTTGCAGGTTTTCTAAAAGTGCTGCTCAGTTTACACAACATATTTGAATATTCATGTGTCTGGAAATTAAGGATTTATTATTTCAATCCATTCAACTTTAGTACATTCAAATGTGTCACCTGCCTTGACAGATGTTGTCTTTGCATTTGTGTAAAACTGGTGAATAAGAACAAGTCTCTCCCAATTGGAGAAGCAAGCAAAAGAGCTCAAATCTGCAAAAAGAAACATGTGAAGACGAAACCATGAGAGTGGAAAATGTTGTAAACACAGATTTTCTGAGGATACAAATGTATTTCCTGGTTGAGAAAATGTTGCACCGTTACCCTAAAAAAGCCATAAAAACACGCATTCAAGGGTAAAAAAGCGAAACAGTCTGTTGCTGTCAAATGAAAGCAGCACCTTCAAAAGAAAGGGAAACTTTTCAGGGCTTTTAAAGAATTTCATTTTCCAGGAGTCCGGGACATACAGAGCAGCTGGCAGACTCTTTCATCCAAAATAAAACCTGGCTGTCTAGTTTGCATCAGCCAAGAGCTCAACCTATCACAGCTTGGTGAAAATGAAAATATTCACAGGAAGTAAAAATAAAAAAAGGACCAAAATATGTCAGCCAGGCTCCAGTTCAGATTAAATATCTCTTGTACCCCTTTTCCACTGAGAATCAGTTCGGTTCTAGCGCCATACTGGTGCTCGTTTGGTTCTCATTTAGTTCTAAGTGCGAACTGGTTTTGTTTCCCACCGCTCGGAAAACCGAATCGTGCCTCGTCATTACGTCACCATTTAAAGGTCCCCTATCATACTGTTTTTCATCAATATATTATAGGTCTCAGATATATACAAAACATGTCTCTGAAGTGTTTGGCTCCAAATACCAAACAGATCATTGCAGCATCCCATAATCCCCTCTGTTTCAGCCCTGTTTCAAAAGTGCTGATTCTCTGTCTGTTACTTTAGATGAAAATAAGGAGCCCCTCCCCACGCCCCTCTGAGAGATATTTGGTTACAAAGAACACAATGGTGCTCTAGGAGGAGATTCAGGTGATAAGGTGGGGGGGGGTTACCTTGGTTGCTGATTGGCTAATGGTTACACAAGCCAAAAAATCGTTATGACATCATAAAGTGGCCAAAATCTGATCAGCTCATTTTCAGACAGGTTTTTATATAAATGGATCAGGACAAAAAGAGAGAGAATCTTTGTTCCTGAAACTTTCAGGGTCTCTTTACACAGAGGGGACACATGCTTATGTATAAAAGACATGAACAAGTGGATTTTGCATGATACATGTAGGTGACCTTTAAGTCGCGCAAAGCTCATGCTGCTTGTATGAATCTGGTTCTTGGTTCTTACCTAGCAGTTTTTTGGTTCCTTTAATGTGAACCAGTTTTTGGGGCTGAGAGCTGGCACCGCTGCAGTGGAAACACGTTAGCAATCAGGCGCTGGCTACGAACTGGAAATGTAATCACTTTGATGGAAAAGGGGTGTTGGTGCCTCGCAGATCAGAGTCACATTTGAAGGTTTTCTGGGTTTGCAAGACAGATGTTCATGTAGACTAACATTGACTCATCCAAAAGGACAGGAATAGTACACGATAATCCAGCTTTAAGGTGGCTTTTCCTTTTAAATCTAACACTGAGAATTTCTTGCTCTTAACTCTCAGCCTTTAAGGTTTTGCCGTTTTAAAACCTTTTTGCAGTTTGTAAATCCCCTTTTCCTCTGCCTAAAAAAGCCTAACATGAACCTAACTAAGTGGATAATGACACCTCTCCCCCTGTGGCCCTGCCTTGCCCCGTTCAGCTGTACCTGGGCGTGGTGCTGTCAGCCGTGGTCATCATCACTGGCTGTTTCTCCTACTTCCAAGAGGCCAAGAGCTCCCGGATCATGGACTCCTTCAAGAAAATGGTGCCACAGGTAAGTTGAGTTGTTTGGTGTACTCTCACAGCTTTCAGAATCAATAAGCTGTCCCTCAAGTAGGGCTTACACTCTCACTTGAGTGGAAACTTAATAAGCTTGCACAAAGGAAGAATAAATGTTTGAGCCAACTTTGGATTGTGAGTGTGTTTGCATAAAAACTCCCCTCGCGTTTCCCCCCCCCTAAGCACTTCGATTACCTAATACTTTAATCTATTTAGGCTTTTTTCACTCCACTTTCTTGTCTGCTTTCCCGAATACCTGTCTCTTTTCTCCTGCTTTTTCACTCCCGCTATCTCTTCCTTTCTCATACACCTCTGCACCCTCCGGCTCTTCCTTTCCTCTGACTAAATCCTCTCTCTGTTCGCACCCTCCCTCTCCCCTCTCCCCTCTCTTCCCTTTTTTCTCCATGCCAGCAAGCGTTGGTGATCCGTGAGGGGGAGAAGATGCAGATCAATGCTGAGTTTGTGGTGCGGGGAGATCTGGTGGAGATCAAAGGAGGAGACCGCATCCCGGCTGACCTTCGAGTGGTCTCCTCCAGCGGGTGCAAGGTAGGGGGAGGGGCACTGGAGGTCTCTGTGGGATTACACCTGCTCCACTGACTTGCTATTTTACACCTGCTTTCAATATAATAATAATAATAATAATAATAATTCATTTTGTCGTGGCTTCCTTCCTTGTTTATCTATCAAGCCACTAGACGCTAGACTCGTTTTCTTCCTTTATATTTGTGTTACTTACAGTTTGAAGAGTTGCTTGGCCTCTGATGGTTTGGATGGAATTAAGAGATGTGTTAAATAGCATAAAATAACAAACTTTTACATAACAAAGAAAAGAGGCCTTTACAATATTCAAAACAAATAAGCAAAACTCAAATCAAATAACAAACAACTTAGGCATTCTTTCTTCTTGATAAGGCTTAATAACTTAAAGGGTAGTTTAACGGTTAAAAACTGTTCCTCGACGGCGTCTTTCTAGCCGGTTGCCCATCACTGTCACTTTAGAGCAGGCGCCGTGGGAATTGTAGTCTTTTATAGTGTGTTGACTACAGACGTCACAATTAGGTGGCCTTTCTTATAAATCAAAAATACTGGCTCTAACACATTTTATTTAAGGCGCCTTCAGGGCCGTCCCTGGCCAACATGAGGCCCCACGCAAAGTTATATGATGAGGCCCTCTGGTTTGCGAGCGTCGACGGGGGGGGAGGGGGGTGCTAGTGGAGCCTCGCAGCAGCAAAACCGTGCCGCGCCACACTAATTGCGCCGCATAGGTGCGCCGCATTTTGGGCTCAGTTGAGGCACCCTCCGCAAGGTGAGGCCCCACGCAGTCTGCATGATCGGCCTGTAGGGAGGGCGGAGGGACTTGAATGTGGAATATTATTATTATATATAATATTATTATTACTTGAATATTATTGAATCTATTTGAATTCGAATCAGTCTTTTTTCTTGTTGTCATCATCTTAAGTTAGTGTTAGAGCGAGTGGTGTAATGTAATGAATTTACTCAAGTACTATGATATTGAGGTACTTTACCTTCCATTGTATGCTATATTATATTTATTCACTACATTATTAAAGCCAAAATTAAACTTCTTACTCCACTAGACTGAACTAAACTAACTATCAGACAGCTTTAGTTATTTTACAAATTCCAAAATGTAGTTTATAAAAAATACATATAAACTAATACAGAAATTATAATATATATAATTGTAGGTTAAGATATCCAGCAGCAGTATATAGAGGTATTAAAATTAGCTCCACATTCACCAGCCTTTATAAATACATTAATCAGGGTATCCGCGGGGTCTTAAAAAGTATTAAAAGTTGATAAATCCATTTAGCGAAAATGAAGGCTATTAAAAAGTATTAAACGGCATTTTCCAAGGTATTACATTTCGTAGCTTGTTTTCAATAAGTATATAAATGGTCCAAAGAGGTTGTATTCTACAGTCTGCCTGAATGTAATCATTGCGTAGGTGTGTAGTGTGATTCTGTGTAGTTTATTTATGGCATCACGTTGGGTTTGACGTCATCTGAACAGGACATCGCACGCTCACTGCTTGATAGCGCGAAGGTCCGTTTACGCCGGTTGTTAAACAACATCGTTATGGGGAAATGCAAGTTTGCGTCCAAATGGTTGGAAGATAAGGAGGAAGGACAATCAATACTGTATATAGTAAATGTGAGGTAAAGTGTGTCGCCAATGTAACCGGTTAGAACTCGAAGTGGCGATGAGGTCTTAAAATGTATGGAAAGGGTCTTAAAAAAGGTCTTAAAAGGTATTAAATTTGACTTCAGGATTCCTGCATATACTCTGCTAATGCATCAGATGTCAAATTCTAATGTAATATATATATATTAATCTGAAATGGGATATTACGTACACTAGTACTTTTGCTTTTTGTAAGTAAAGTATATTTTCTTGCAAATGTTTTTGTCAATTTTACTTTTATGTAAGATTTGACAGTACTTATACAGCACTGGTTTTAGCATAATAGCGTTTTCTAATTAGCACAAAAACAAAGCTCATGATTATGGGAATGTCATCTTAATCAACAGACTTATAAGGATTATTATTATTATAATGTTGGATACTTTTGCACATTTTAAATTCAAGCTAAACCCTTGCTGAGATATTTCACTCAAAACCCAACATTTCAACCTCAAAGTGGCTATTTTTGTTCCCCAGCTTGACATTCTCATATTTCTTGACATATGACGGACACTTTGGAAAGTGTTTTATGTACTCAGCAGGTTGTTGAAATCACCCGCCCACAGTTTACAGCTTTCTGATGTTATTCTCCATTAAACCTACACAAAACCTTTCTTTTCAATTTTCTTCTTGTAAAATTAGGTTTTGATTAGCGTAAATTCCCCACTTTAATCTCAGGAAATATTCTCGATTTTTCATGTGAATTTGTGACTTTAATGTAGAAAATACAGAGTTATTTTCTCTGAATATGAACTCCCCACACTAGCCATGCAGTTGTCATTTTATATTCATTTTACATTGTTAAGGTTTGCTTTCATTTTTCATATAGTACTCCCTGTAGTATAAAAATGTGTCTCAACATGTCGACTTTCCAGCTTGAGTTCATCCCACTGGACTTCGAGGCAGTATAATAAGACTGTGGCGATCAATTGAATGCATGTCTTCACCTATAGAGGAACATGAGGAAAATAACTAAGACAACAGAAAAGCGTTTGGACTTGCTTCGACTTGCTGCGCTTGTTGATAAGTGCTGCTGTCGTCATTCTCACCTTGTCACTCTCTCCTGTTTCCCTCCCTCAGTCTCACTCACTAACACACTCCTTGTTTCCTCTCCCTCTGAAGGTGGACAACTCGTCTCTGACGGGAGAGTCGGAGCCTCAGACTCGCTCCCCAGAGTTCACACATGACAATCCTCTGGAAACCCGCAACATCTGTTTCTTCTCCACCAACTGCGTCGAGGGTCAGTAGGTCACATCTGGCTGAGATTGTCTCTTATCACATCTAAAAGTGTTTGTTTTTTTCAAACCATCTGGACATCAACACTACCTTTCCGCCTGACCATGAGTGTGTTTCAGTGCATTCATTAGACAAGCCCTCCATGCGATAGTAGTGTGTGTTGAATATTTAATGCATTGAGATTTTTAACGAGTGTTTCCATCTGAGATTCAACTGTTGGGAATCATAGTTGATGTTTCAGCTCCTATCAATCATCAAATGCTGATGCACTAGGCATTTTAATGAGATTTTCTTATTTATTCTATTAGAAATATGCAACTTTATTAATTTCTTCATATATATTCCAATGCAGGTGGAATATAAAGTGAACTGTTCATATTCAAAGTACATTATTTGGAGAAAAAAAGTATGTATCTAACCAATTATTGTCTGCGTGGAATATCTTAGATTCAGATTTACATTTAATAATAACAATAATAATAATAAACTGTATTGATCTTGTTTCAAAACATAGTTACAAAGCGCTTTCACATAAAACAGAACACCGGTATAAATACACAAAGAGAAAATGAATTAAACAACAGCATCTTAACACAGAGTAAAACAGATAGAAAATATTAAGATAAAATAAAAATAACAGATAAGCGATTCCAAAAAAAGTGAGTTTTTAAAAATGACTGAAAAAGAGCTGACAGATTTCGCAGCCCTCAGGCAAGTCGTTCAAAAGCCCATTATACTTTATTTTAAAGATAAATCATTTTATTGTATATGCCAGCTTAACAAAACATGCATATATCTGTACATTTTCTGCATCAGTAGTAAAACTATGTAGAGAGTAATGTTTAGCCTTCTGCTGTCTTTTAGTCTATTACTCAATTGAGCTCCCTCTAGCTAGCTAGGTTGTGTTCAAGGACATAAAAGCACCATATTTCCTCTTTAGGGGGTTCTAGCTCAGCAGATCATTTGCGTTTTATGTATCCAGGTTTGTAGATATTTGCCCCCGAGATTTAAAATTCAAATACAGTGTGAGTGGTGCTCACAGCAATAGAAAGACATTTAAAAAAAAATCAGTAGCAGCATTTTCTTTCTAGAAACATTGCCCCTGTTGCTTTGTTTAATCCAGATATTTCCCTTTGAACCGTTTTGTTGGAACCACTTTCAACTGAGGAAATAGCTTAGGTCTGCAGATTACACATTTGTATTTTACATGATTTCCTTCCCTCACTCAGTCAGTCAGCACGGTGTCTCCTCAGCCATCAATCACTGGCCAACACCTGTAATTGTCCACCATCCATCACGACTATTTATCCAGCGCATCACTTTTCCTATCAATGCGCTGAGGGCTGGACATCTTGTTTTAAAGAGCTCTCTTCAACTAAATAAATTGGCCCCATTTGTAAAAGAAGAAATGACAACTGCCTACTGCGAGAAACTTGTGCTTGGTGTAAAATGTGTTAAACTGCCGCTTCCTGCAGAGATGGCACAAGTACACACATCCTTTACTCAAGTAGAAGTATAGATACTCGTGTTTAAAAATACTCTGGTAAAAGTAGAAGTACTGACTAAACTTCTTTACTCAAGTAAAAGTAAAGAGGGCTTTGAAATGTACTTAAGTAAAAAGTACCCATAACTAGCAGCTGTTTTAAAGAGTACCTGACCTCCCTTTATATTAATAGAACAATAATTTCATTGTTAGCTAATGAATGTTTCCATGCTGAACAACGGCAACATGACAACGTTTTCATTGGTCCCTCTTCTTTAGAGAAGACCAGGAAATGATGGATACACGGATCGTGTTCAAATCAATAGGCACGCAATGACTCTAAATAATAATGATCACGCCACCAAACACACATTCAAACTAAAGTAACCAGCCTGTTTGGAAAATGTAAGAAGTAGAAAGTACAGGTATTTGTGTTCAAAATGTAAGAAGTAGAAAGTACAGGTATTTGTGTTCAAAATGTAAGAAGTAGAAAGTACAGGTATTTGTGTTCAAAATGTAAGAAGTAGAAAGTACAGGTATTTGTGTTCAAAATGTAAGAAGTAGAAAGTACAGGTATTTGTGTTCAAAATGTAAGAAGTAGAAAGTACAGGTATTTGTGTTCAAAATGTAAGAAGTAAAAGTAAAAAGTCGTCAGAAAAATAAGTAGTGGAGTAAAATACTGATACCAGAAACATGTACTGTACTTAAAGGGGACCTATCATGCAAAATGCACTTTTGTACGTCTTTTATACATGAATATGTGTCCCCGGTGTTCCAGGGAACTCACCAAGTGTCAGAAAACACAACCCTCTCTAGTTTCCTCCATACCCAAATCTCTAAAAAAGGGGCTGCAACGGATCTGATAAAAACTGATCCAGATTTGAACACTGTCCTGACGTACATATGCCAGGCCTGTAGATGGTGCTGTTCTCACAGAATCTGCCCTTGCAAAAACAGAGCCAAAAAATGTCAAATTGAGCAAAATGAGGCATGGCTAAAATGCATGATCTGTTTGGTATTTTGAAAAAAAAAATATATATATAAATATGCCTTATATAGGTATGGTCCACACTATATTATTCAAATATAGCATGATAGGTCCACTTTAAGTAGTAACGAAGTATTTGTACTCCACTACTTGCCACCTCTGGCTTCCTGACATATAACATGCATGTGTTGAACTGACAGTGAACCCCTCCTCTCTCTCAGGTGGCGCTCATGGCATCGTGATAGGCACCGGGGACCATACAGTGATGGGTCGCATCGCCACGCTGGCGTCAGAGCTGGAAGTCCGCCGTACGCCCATCAACATCGAGATCGAGCATTTCATCCACCTCATCACGGGCGTGGCTGTCTTCCTGGGCGTGAGCTTCTTCATCCTGTCAATCATCCTGGGCTACAGCTGGCTGGAGGGCGTCATCTTCCTCATCGGCATCATCGTGGCCAACGTGCCTGAGGGCCTGCTGGCGACTGTCACTGTGAGTAGTGTGTGTGGGTGTGTTCCTCACAAGAAAGATAGCTGGATTTTTTTAACTCAAAAGAGAGATCTGTTTCAATGTTGTTTTGTTTGTATACCAGCACCCACCCTCTTTTTTTTGTTACCTCTGCAAGAACACAATGGGTCCTTAAGTTTACAATAAACAAGGTCCCTTTGTAAACAAGGTCCCTTTGTAGCAAGGACAGGACGCAAAAAGCTTCTGGGAATAGTGAACAGAAACCATGGGGAGAAGTCATACATTGCCCGCAGCACACAAACAAACAAAGGTTAAACATGGTTTGTGTTGCAAATGGTCATTTATCTTTTCATTATTTGTTTTGTTCTAACTAAGTATTATGAGTTGGATACATTTTTAAAAAGGTAGCTAAACACCATTTTCCTGGCACCTCAACATCACTAAATTCGCCCCTGATAAAAACACCCAAAACTACTCAGAAGCAAAAACACATTAATTGAAAATTGACATTGAGTTTTTCCAAAAAGGGGTTGAATGGGCTATACTGTAGTAATGAGAAGTGCAACACAAATCTTTGTTATTTGTTGAACAAGCAGATATTTTGGGACAGTCTGATATGCCTATAAATATAGTGGCATACATCATATGATTAATTGTTTACTTGAATAGCATATAAGCTAACAGTTGTCATTCATTCAAGGTCCTTTTTAAGGCCCCTAAACAAACTCACGTCTAATATTCACTCTCCGTTTACCTCCGTTTTGGTCTCACCGCCTCGTTAGACAAGACATTTGGCTTTGTGTGTGCTTGGTGTGTACGTTGGTTTCTTCACAAGTTAGTTGCTAACTTTTTTCTGTCTGCTGTTCGGTGCTGGGCAGGTAATCGGGTACGCTGGCTAAATGAACTCGTTTGATGAAATTGCTGCCTGAGGCTTCTGAAATGGGGTTTGATGAAACGAGAGTTTGTGCTAAAAAGCTCTTTTAGTACTTAGGGGAGAATGCAGAGTTGTGTGTTGATTCTCCACGGGTTTGACACCTTGAGCAGCTGTTTTCTCATTACATGCAGTAATTTAATCCAGTGTTAACATCAACATATTGATTATTGCAGCGCTGCGTGTGCCAGTTGTGGAGCCCTTATATAACCCGGCTCACTGTCATGGTTTACTGGCACCCCTAAATGGCACAGAGCCATCGTCAATGTTATTAGTTACACCTGTGCTTTTGCTAACACTAATTTACCCTCAGTGAATGTTAGCTCTGGCTCTAATGATACTACAGAACACAACAAAGCAGGTGATTTATTACTCAATGGTTACTGGAGTTGCTCAAAAGTAAATCTAACTTTTTCTGCAACAATAAACAAAGTGTGAGCTGAGGTGGATGCCAGCTGGCATTTGAAATGCCATCAGTCGACATTTCACTGGTCACAGAAAATAAATTAACTTCCAGTGGCTGGTTTTCTTTAGTTGCTTTCGCTTTAGACACACCGTGAATCGTGGGTGGAAATGTTTGTGCTGCATTTGTTGCACTGTAAATAGTACCGAGAGCTTGAATCATTGTGCGACGATGTGTCTCTCGCAACATATGGGATCTGTCTATTCATTGTATTTGTATGTCCCTGTGCACCTGCTGCTAACCAGCCAACCAAATACATGCAAACAGACACACATGCAGACACACCAACATGCTCTTTCGTTGTAAAGCACCTGGCCCACGCATGGTTTCACAAGCACAAGCACTTGAACGCACCGGTGCGTGTACATGCTTTCTCTTCCCTCGTCGACTAACAATCATCCATCCTCTCCTCCCCCCCTCCCCCCCCTCTGTCTTCCCAGGTGTGTCTGACTCTCACTGCCAAGCGAATGGCCAAGAAGAACTGCCTGGTGAAGAACTTGGAGGCCGTAGAGACTCTGGGCTCCACCTCCACCATCTGCTCCGACAAGACGGGCACGCTGACCCAGAACCGCATGACCGTGGCCCACATGTGGTTCGACAACCAGATCCACGAGGCGGACACCACTGAGGACCAGACGGGTGAGACAGGGAGAGGGGGAGGGATGAAAGGAGAGGGAGGAGCAGGCACGTGCAGAGGATGTTAGAGGAGCACTGTAGTGGAAATATCTCATAGAAATAAAGACTCAAGTTAAAGGTCCCCTATTATACTGTTTTTCATCAATACATTATAGGTCTCAGATACAAAACATGTCTCTGAAGTGTTTGGCTCCAAATACCAAACAGATAATTGCAGCATCCCATAATCCCCTCTGTTTCAGCCCTGTTTCAAAAGTGCTGATTCTCTGTCTGTTACTTTAGATGAAAATAAGGAGCCCCTCCCCACGCCCCTCTGAGAGATATTTGGTTACAAAGAACACAATAGCTGCGTTCACACCGGAGTACTTTTCACCGTACTTTTCGCGTTGAGTTCCGTTAGTACCCCTTATGTCGCGTTCACACCAAAAAGAGCACTTTTACCCCCATTTTTAGTGCCTGCTGAGAGGTGGTACTTTCCTGGGGGAAAAAAGTGCCCCAGTTCTGATTGGCTGGGCGAATTGCAAACCACGCCCCGTAAAACTCTGAAATGTTTTGGAGAGCCGCCATTTTATTATCCTGGCATTAGCATTATTAGCATTAGCATTCGCCCAGCGCACAAACGCAGAGAGACTAACTTATGGCAACACAAAATAAAACATGGGAGCGGTGGAGATGAGGAGGTGTCGGCGTTCTGGCGATTTACTCGGAAGGCTTCAGTAGAAGCTGCTGGGAGTCCCAGCAGCTTCTACTGAAGCCAGTCCCCAACTCCGGGGACTTCCGGCCGGGGACTTCGGGTGGCAGTATACGCCGTGAAGTGGTTTGCGGCCTGCCAGTAAACCCAAAGCAGAAGAAGACGAAGTGACGTCAGCGGCTCATTTGCGTAATCTTCCCTCAGGGAAAAGTACTCCGGTGTGAACGCGATCTGTAATAAATGCCCTGGGGTAATAACTGCCGGGGCACTGAGTGCCGGCACTAAATACGGCAAAGTACTTGGTGTGAACGCGCCTATTGGTGCTCTAGGAGGAGATTCAGGTGATAAGGTGGGGGGGGGGGGGGGGGGGGTTACCTTGGTTGGTGATTGGCTAATGGTTACTCAAGCCAACAAATTGTTATGACATCACAAAGTAGCCAAAATCTGATCAGCTCATTTTCAGACAGGTTTTTATATAAATGGATCAGGACAAAAAGAGAGAGAATCTTTGTTCCTGAAACGTTCAGAGTCTCTTTACACAGAGGGGGGGGGGACATGTTGATGTAGAAAATACATGAACAAGTGGATTTTCCATAATAGGTGACCTTTAAGAGATTGTCTTTGAATATTTAATAAGCTCTTCTTCGCAGAAAAGGATCCAAACATCACAGTCACATGTTCACGGCAAGAGTCTGCAAAGTCTGAATGAAGATGCTCGTGTTGTATCTCTAGGTTGGAGCCGTTGAAACACCTGCGTCCTTGAGACTGCAACAACCCGGTGCTAAAACAACTCTCTGTGTGGTTATACAGAGCCACACAGTTAGCTGTAAATTAAAACACATCATTGTGTTATGTGGGAAAGAAGGATTCAGTATTTTCCCACTCATGTGAAAGATACTTGAATAAGCAAAAAACAACCAAATGGGAATGTATATTAAAATGTCCAATATAGCACAAATGAATAGAATTGCAGCTGGCCATTTTTGTTACTTTTAAATGAATATATACCTCGGAATTTATGGCAGTTCTAAGGGATATTAAAATGTATGTATTTTAATCAAACCCATGTTGTTGGTTCAAAATCTGACATGTTAATACATGCAAAGAAATAAAGTATATTTAGGTCATTTCTTCTCACATTTGACCTAGCCCAATCCTAACCTAGCCCTCTGACAAAGATGCACTTCCTCTCTCGCCTCAATGTTTGTGATACCAAGTTCTCCATAAAGACATCAGGCACAAGGCTTCAGCAATGACGAGAAGATGCTGATAGTGTACGGCTAAGATACAACTACTATGTGCCAAATATTTAGTTGATTAAAATTCCCATATCATGAATAAGGTGTACTAAACACAAGTTATTTTTATTTATTTTGGTTTAATGTAAGATAAAGCCCCCTTTCAGATCTATCTGTGCCAAGGGAGAAGGAAGGGACAGAGATAGCTGGAAGGAAAGTTGGAGAGTGTGTGGGAATACAGAGCGGGAAGGAATGACCACCTGCTGAAATGCATCTGTCCAATGTTCACGCCGCCAACAGACAGTTCTGTTTGCTCTAGCGCTTGGATTAATTGAGCAGCGGTATGCAGTGGGTGGCACAACCATCAGCTACAGTACAAACATGTCTTCTGCCAGAGTTGCCGTGGAACCAATCCGAATCCTGTCTCAGCCGGCAACCCGTGCCAAATTTCAAAGCATGCTTTAGCAATAAGCAAAAGGTCTGGAAGAAACAGAAACAGGTGTATGCATACCAATGAGTATTGAGTAGGCGAATGTGGAATCATACAATAAATAGCTTCTGTTGTAGTGCTGATGAAGGTTGCACCGCTGAAACAAGTGCGGAAAGAACAGTGTATTCATTTTTCATGAGCGGGGATTATTTGTTGCAGCTGTTGCAGGTTTTGGATTCTTTCGCACCTCGCTTTGTCAAATTCAACAACTCTCGCCAACTCGCCGCTTGTGCTGATGTTGCCTGATACTATCATATTCTGTTTACACACTAAGAGTGACAGTGACCACTCCAGAGAGGCAGGGCAAGAATACAACTGGAACGCAGCAGAGTGAAGGTCATGTTCAGATTGGCTGGGAGGAGAGATGACATTTTCATAGACATTTTTCCAAACAGCTTTTTATTTTCGACACATTCTGGTTAAAAATGTATGCCTTTTTTCAGACTGGGGATTTGAAGGATCACTTTTGTCGAGGAATAAGTGATTGCTCGACTTTCTGTTATTTAGCTTCAATATCCAGTGCTGTGTGAAACCAAGAGTTAAGTCAGTAGCGTACATACTGCATGAGCAGCACTTCCTCTCTCGCCTCAATGTTTGTGATACCAAGTTCTCCATAAAGACATCAGGCACAAGGCTTCAGCAATGACGAGAAGATGCTGATAGTGTACGGCTAAGATACAACTACTATGTGCCAAATATTTAGTTGATTAAAATTCCCATATCATGAATAAGGTGTACTAAACACAAGTTATTTTTATTTATTTTGGTTTAATGTAAGATAAAGCCCCCTTTCATATCTGTGCCAAGGGAGAAGGAAGGGACAGAGATAGCTGGAAGGAAAGTTGGAGAGTGTGTGGGAATACAGAGCGGGAAGGAATGACCACCTGCTGAAATGCATCTGTCCAATGTTCACGCCGCCAACAGACAGTTCTGTTTGCTCTAGCGCTTGGATTCATTGAGCAGCGGTATGCAGTGGGTGGCACAACCATCAGCTACAGTACAAACATGTCTTCTGCCAGAGTTGCCGTGGAACCAATCCGAATCCTGTCTCAGCCGGCAACCCGTGCCAAATTTCAAAGCATGCTTTAGCAATAAGCAAAAGGTCTGGAAGAAACAGAAACAGGTGTATGCATACCAATGAGTATGGAGTAGGCGAATGTGGAATCATACAATAAATAGCTTCTGTTGTAGTGCTGATGAAGGTTGCACCGCTGAAACAAGTGCGGAAAGAACAGTGTATTCATTTTTCATGAGCGGGGATTATTTGTTGCAGCTGTTGCAGGTTTTGGATTCTTTCGCACCTCGCTTTGTCAAATTCAACAACTCTCGCCAACTCGCCGCTTGTGCTGATGTTGCCTGATACTATCATATTCTGTTTACACACTAAGAGTGACAGTGACCACTCCAGAGAGGCAGGGCAAGAATACAACTGGAACGCAGCAGAGTGAAGGTCATGTTCAGATTGGCTGGGAGGAGAGATGACATTTTCATAGACATTTTTCCAAACAGCTTTTTATTTTCGACACATTCTGGTTAAAAATGTATGCCATTTTTCAGACTGGGGATTTGAAGGATCACTTTTGTCGAGGAATAAGTGATTGCTCGACTTTCTGTTATTTAGCTTCAATATCCAGTGCTGTGTGAAACCAAGAGTTAAGTCAGTAGCGTACATACTGCATGAGCCCTCCTTTAAAAAAAACAGAGTCTAACACAGCTCCTTCTATTCTCTCAGGTTTAGGATTTGACAAGAGCTCTGCTACTTGGGTTGCTCTGTCTCGCGTGGCCGGGCTATGCAACAGAGCGGATTTCAAAGCCGGACAGGAGAACTTCCCCATCCTGATGGTATGAACCTCCACCCTACACACACTCAGCAGCTTTCCAAACCTTTGCATCAATGATTCAGTCTCATGAATTATCTGCACTCTCTTAAGCAGGAGGTTATAACAGGTTTCATTTGATCTAAGGACATTTTAAGTAGACCATTTTGGGATTGGGATCAAATCATGCATGCACATTATTCATAAGACAGGATTTCCCATACACGGTAAGGGGAAGTTAACAACATCAGAAGAGTGTTAGGGAAGCTGCCACTCAAAAATAATCAGAGGGGGTCTTTGAATGTTTTAAATGACCCACACAATGACCATTTGTACATGAAATGACCTCCATGCTGCCTTGAACATTTGTGGACATTTTCTTGGCATGCCTCAAAGTCAAACAAAGATTGAAGTACTTTTTGCTGCGTTTAACATCAGCAAAAACGTATAAAGCCGTTTATATATGATATAAACTGATGAAATAGGTTTGTAATCAACATCATAATCTGAGACGTAACGTATTTGATACGTTTTTAGTAGAGGTACACTATTTCTGAAATATTTATAGCAATTGTTTTACAAACATTTATGCAAAAACCTCAGAGTACTGAGTTGCTCACAAGAACAAGCAAATAATACAGTAGGTATGCAATGCCTTATATTTTATATATGATAAGCATGACATACAATATGGCCCTCTTAAATATTGTGTCGCAAAGGTACAGTTAAGTATCACATGGATGTTCTTAAGTCAAGTTTAAGTACTTGAACTTTGAGTAAATGTACTTTGCCATGGGGCCGGACAATTTTCACACACAAGGCAGCCGCAGCGGAAAAAAAAAAAAAACCCATAAAAACGATTTGTCAATACCACTTGACACTGGTACATCACACACACACACACACACACACACACACACACACACACACACACACACACACACACACACACACACACACACACACACACACACACACACACACACACACACGGAGGCACACACATGGAGGCACACACACACAAACACACACAGACAGAATAATCCGGTGCACCCCTGGAAATAACTCCCCCACACTGACACACAAACACACACACCGCTGGGTGGGTAAGTCAATAATTTCCCAGAGTTCTTCCGACCGCTGCCCTCCAACCTGTGCTACATTGACCTGAAGAAATTCCCAGTGTGGCTCTCACACTCTCTGCAGCCTCTCTGCAGCCTCTCTGCAGCCTCTCCCCTCCAGGTGCCAGGCCTCCTCCCTGCATTAAGTAACAGCCATATCTCCTGACAGCACTCAAACACAGCAGTCAAGGCCCAGGCCACACTGCCACATCTGCACCGGGGAAAACACAAATGGAATTTCCATGATCTATTTATTCATTCATGGAAAGGCACAAACAAGGACAAATCTAGCTGAGCGCGTGTCCTTGTTTAGTGGCTGTTCATGAATGAGTAAACAGGAATAAAGAGAAATGTCTTGTCTCTGTCCGGCCCCTGTTGGTGTATTGGCTGTAAGGTCATTCAGCTCAGCATGGGTTTTAATAAATTGGCTGCAAGAGCGGGGGAAATTGCAGTGATCCTCGTGGAATTCTTATCAAAAGGGGTTTTCACATTATCAGAAGATATTTGTTCCTTAAATGATTCAAGCACCAGCCAAGCATGTTTGTCACACTTAATGAAGTCGCTAAAACTGAAAATAAACCCAGAAAAAACGAATATAGAGCGTCGTGCCTCCAAACAGCGGGAAAAATACTTCTGAGCCTAGTTTTTGTCTGAATTTGCAAATGTTGAAATGTCACCTCTGCTGCTAAAAAAAAATCCAATTGTCAGTATTTTCTTAGACACAGAAAAATGTGTTTTTAATACCTTTGAGCCAAAATATTTCCATCCTTAGCAGCCAATTTGCTGTGGATATTTACCAATGCTGTGTAAGGTGTTGCACAAATATGTATTCCAACATTGTTCTAAATTTGTTTGAATATATTTATATATATTCAGGGCCTGTTACATCCTCATACTTTTTAAAATGTCCCTAAGAAAGATAGCAAACTACTCTATTTCCTTCCTGAAAACATTGAGCTGCTTTAATCAAATTGTTCTTCATCCCATAAACTCAAAAGAAGAAAACCCGGATTTGCACTTTCATTACTTCTACATTAAACTGTTACATAACTTTAAAAACAACGTGGCCCAGCGTTGGTGGTGCAGACGATGCTCAGCTTCCTGCATCTTTGATGAGCACTATAATGGAAGAGGAAGAAGTCATCTCAGGTACGGATTTAATCAGTTCAAGTTCCCTTCCAATGCAGCGAGACAAACACTGGCAGGCAGGCTGACAACACTCATTTCTTCATATGAATATGTGAGTGAGTGTGCTAATGTGCGGCTGTGTGTGTTTCCCCAGAGGGAGACAGCGGGGGACGCTTCAGAGTCCGCTCTGTTCAAATGCATCGAGCTGTGCTGTGGGAGTGTTCGTGAGATGAGAGCCAGAAACACCAAAGTGGCCGAGATCCCGTTCAACTCCACCAACAAATACCAGGTACGGCATGGGACTGATGTTCACAAATTCACCGTCACTAACAGTTTAGCAAATACAAATATTTACTTTCATTATTTTTCTAGGGATGACAGAATATTATTTCAACTTTCAGATATGTATTTGCTCAAAAATACTTAATTTATTTCTTATAATTATTCTATATATGTTTTTTATAGAATTAATTTAGTAATTCAAGATTTAAATAAAATAAGAAAAATGTTCAATTCATTTCTCACAATTAATTCTTTATAATTTTGGTTACAAATCTTATTTTATTAAATATTCAAATGTATCTGTACATTTGCCTTTATTCATAAATACATTAAATGTATTTCTTATAATTATTTGTATTAATTTTTTTCAAATCTTAATGTTTTATTAAACTTATTTTTGTATTTATGCATTTGTATTTATTCATAAATACCTTCAATTTATTTCCAATTATTATTTCTACATTATTTCTAAACATTTTTTTTTACAAATCTTATTGTTTTTATTAAACTTAATTTTTCATTTTTTTTAATATACTGTATATATAATAGTGTCAGTGCTCTTTCATCTCACAATATAAGATGCATTTCCAAGTATTGGAAAGGATTTCTGAGTGAATCATGCATATTAATTTTTTAACCTTTTTATTCCATGTTCAGAGAGGCAGCCTGAACATGCATGCTCCTTTTCAGCGACACCCTGCTTCACATTCATACTGTTGCACACATTTAGGCTTGGAAGCTGCCCAACACGCCGCGAGCACAATACTGTGATCCACAGAGGAGCTGCTGTAATGTTTCCATGTGTATGACGGAGAAAATACACGGGGATTAGAAACTGGTTGTTTTTGGAGGCTCACAAGATGTTTCGTTGCTACCTTTCAACGAACAGAAAATCCCTCTGGTCTGGCCACAGCCTAAAGACCTTTGGGTTAGGTGAGAGGACCTAGTGGGTGATGCACTAAATCACTTTAAATGCTTTAAAATACTTTAAATTTCACACTTCAAGAATAAGAATCTTTATCTGATTCCCAATAGTTGTTAATTTCAGAACTAGCAACTGTCATCTGCTTCATTTCTCATGGCGTGAGACAAAAACACCACGTTTTTCCCGTTGGTTTCATCTCCCCTTAAAAAAGTAATTCTTAATTAAAAATTATAATGTTTTTAAAGCTCTGAGTGAGAAAGAAATATCCTTTATTTATCCCACAACAGGGACATTTGCATTGTTATGCAAAGAGACAGTGAAGACAAAAAGGCAAATACAATTAGTCGGATAACATATTTAATAAACAGCAAAAATAAATAAATCAATAAAGAATAGTAATAACAAATAATATTTAAGATAATGAATAAATAAGTGTCAGCATTATATCAGTACTGTTCATTGTAACAACAATAATACAATTAACAGTTTTTTTCCAGTTGGTTTTATAGTTATTGGCTATTTAACTGTACTCTAAAGAATAGGCACTCCTGAAGGGTCTGCTCTGATTGGTTAACTGGCCGGCTCTGTTGTGATTGGTCAACCCTCTGGAGGGAACACAGGGATTTTAGCCTTTGCAGACCATTTACATGCACAAACACATATACTGTATAACACACTTCAGGAAAGGGAAACCCCCAAGTAGCACAATAGGGCCCCTTTAAGTTCAGCTGCATGCGTTAGCACATCCTGTACGAGTCCACCACATTATCAGAAATCACAACTTAATACTGAACCATGAAAAAGTCATCACACAGAGCTTTAACAACTTGCTCAAGGGCAATGCAGCAATTAAGACAGGGGGAATATTTCTGCTCTCCTCTCTCGGATTCTGTCAGGAGACTTGCACGGGAATATGAATAACCCAACAGAGATGTTGAAGCAAACAAAGGACTTCCTGCATGCTTTCTGTGCACCTGTTCCCGACTTAAAACAGGAACATTTGTGTTGAGAGAAAAAGAAAAAGCAATTTTGCTCTGGTTTTCTGAGATTAGATATGCAGTGGCTAAGATACAAATTACCTGGGGGAGTGTGTGTGTGTGTGTGTGTGTGTGTGTGTGTGTGTGTGTGTGTGTGTGTGTGTGTGTGTGTGTGTGTGTGTGTGTGTGTGTGTGTGTGTGTGTGTGTGTGTGTGTGTGTGTGTGTGTGTGTGTGTGTGTGTGTGTGTGTGTGTGTGTGTGTGTGTGTGTGTGTGTGTGTGTGGGAAGGGGCGATGCAAGGTGTAGTACCACAGGAATACATTTGAGAGTTTGAATGAATGCTCCTTCAACATGGGGAATACCTAGGACTCACAATGTGCACTCAGTCTAGTCAGCTCCGATAAGACTTTTTTTTCTCAAACCACTCGAAAAAAGAAATGACTGGAGAAATGATTGCTGGTAGTACGACCATGAAATTCATTGTTGAGCGTTACAAAGAAGCATGTCTGTCCTTAGCCACGAGCAAGAAACAACCAGCGATAAACTGGATGGTGCAAATTGTTTCAAGATGAATACTGCAGTGTTATGTCCTCACCGGTCTGCCTATATTCTCCCCTTTCCCCCCAGCTCTCTGTCCATGAAGCAGAAGACAATCCCTCTGGTCATATTCTGGTCATGAAGGGAGCGCCAGAGAGAATCTTGGACAGGTTGGTCAATCAATAAGGGGATCGATTATACGTCTCCCAAGTGAGGCATCAAAAAATGTGTGCTCCTTTTTCATTCAATTTCATTTGATCCTCCTCTCCCAGGGATGTAGTGAAAAGGCTGGCGATATTTCACGTTTTTTGTATTATTTTTAACAACCCTATCAAAAGACTAAATTTGGGTTTGAGCCTAAAAACAAAATACATAATAATACATTTTTAATAATAAATGTAATTTATATAGCGCTTCTCATCAGTCGACATGTTCCATTATCACCATGAAATGTGTAGTGTAGATTTGAGTCCACATACTATCCTGCTGTGAAATGACTCGCTGAAGCACCATGTGTGTATTAATCCACTGGTGAAAATAGTCTCCATCAAATGTAATATTTACTCTTGGACAGCTGGGGAGATTGACATTGTCACAGCAAAGGGAACAGTGCGGACAAAAGGCAAAAACAAGATTAGTAGAGAAAAATATTCAGAACTACGGAAGAGGATTACGGCCACAAGTGGGTTTTTTTTTTTTTACTTGAATTCTGAGAAAAAGCCTGAATTCTAAGAAAAAGTGAGATTTTCGAGATTTAATTCAGAGTTCAAGAAAAAAAATGCTGACTTTTTCCTGAAAATCGCTGAAAAAAATATTCAGAATTGTGGGGGAAACTTCTGTGTAGCAATGCAGGAGAAGTCACCGACTCAAAAGGAGACACGAGGAGAGCTGGAGCTTTGATGTCAAACACTGATGGGTTTATTTAGGAGCTTCAGCCGGAGAATTCACACCACAAGTCAAAGAGTCAGAGGTTCTGACTTCACGGTCGATTTGCCACGTCAATTCTGAAGAACTCTACCCCAGACCCGTGTATTTAGCTAGTTCAGAGAGAATAATCAACATTGTGCATATCAAGATAGAAGCATAACACCTCTATCAGCTGACGCCAACAGCCAGGAACAGGGAGACAAAACACTGAGAGCACAGCAGCCAAGGTTGCAGGTGCGTGTGCTCAGTCAGGACAGTATGAACTGATAAACTGGGTCAAAGTTATGGGCTTTGGAAAATATTTCCCCAACAAGAATTATTACTTTAATCTCAGAAAAATACTTATTTTAATCTTCCAATTCACTTTTGGTCAAATATTGTTTTTCAAATGTTCTCTTCCCTACAGTAGAGCATGAGGTAGCAACAAGTGGCAGAAATAGTGCGTACAAATAAAAAAGTGTATATTGCACATAGCTATGTTATTTCTTCAACAGTAGTGTCATTTTTTATGAAAATGAAAACATTTCGAATAACACCATGACTATCATTAACATGTTTTTGGTATTGCACTCTAAAGGTATTGTGGGTTTAATCAGAGGTGAAAAATGTTGGGACCAAACGTGGTGCTATCACACTATCACACTTCAGTTTGGTCGTGATGTCACACTACACAGCCAAAAAACTCCTCATTGACTGAACTGTTGAGGTTTAGTTGTTTTACAGCAGTTATTTAATGCATTTCTATACACACAGAGAGTTCATTAATGTCAGGAGAAGCAGTAAAAGTGTTATTTCTAAATACTTTACAGGTGCAGCAGCATCATGATCCACGGCGAGGAGCAGCCACTGGATGAAGACTTGACGGATGCTTTCCAGAGTGCCTACATGGAGCTGGGAGGACTGGGAGAGAGAGTGCTGGGTATGTTTCCTGACACACGTTATTATTATCGGCCTGAGAATAGATTGTGACGAGAAGCACTTGGACTACACTTTGTTTTCTCCTTGGAAACTGGGAGTTAAGCTTCATGTAACTGCAAGAGTGCTTTTATTGCATCGGTGTATACAAAGAAGATTTGGGCTTTGCAGGCTTGAGCAGAATCGCAATAGACTGTAATTCAATTCAGGTCAAACGCCGCAGAAAACTCAAATAAATAATAATATTTACAGAATAAATGGCCAAAGTTCAAACAGAAGTAATTGGGAGAAACACATTAACAGTTTTGGTCCTGAATGAAATTGAGAAAAATAATGAATAGCTCCAGGCTTATCCTTATGTTTTTGTTATTGCAAATGAATGGCATTGTTGGTGGGAGTGGTACGGTGGCAGACAGATTCTAACACATTACAGTACAACAGCCCAAAATCTTTCCGTTAGGAGAAACACTCTGCAGTTTCAAATATGAAAAAACAAATGTGCCAAAACACATTCAAATTAAGAAACATCTTCGCCAACTTCACCACGAAACATGCGCAGCGTTTAAGCACTGCATAAATAAACACTGCAATTCAAAACTCTGCAAGAAGTTTCAAAACACGACGGGAGTGATGCACACAGCTGGGATCGGAGCACTTGTTGAAGTTCGGGGATTTTTTCAGAAAGTTCCGAACATTTCTTCTAATAGAAGTGTTTCTAGCACGTTTTCACTTGTTGGCAACCGTAAATTGGAGGTGCTGAATTTAATTCTGTGCCCAAATTTGTTATACTATTTTAGTCATACTGTCACACTTTGTCCCAAAAGCTCCTCAATGGAGTTAGACACAGTACTTTACTTTACTTGGTATAGTTTTGGCACTGCAGTCAGAATTGAAATACACAGACATGGGATTTCACTTTGGTACACAGCAATGTTTTCCAATGTGTTGTAATATTGTATGCATAATGAATTTGTAATGGACTGGTGATTCAATTCAGGTCACACTCTGCACACAATCTCTAATATTTCTACATGAAACATCATTGTAAAATGTCATTTTGATTAAAAAAAAAAAGAATTACCCAAAGTTCAACTTACAATATCTCTCAAGTGTTTGGCGTCCACACTCTGTAAATGTCATCCTTTTGACAACCAAGGAAGAAAAGTTACCTGGCACCTTTTAGGAAGTGCCATGGATAATAATTATGTGTTATACTCATTTCTTTTTAAAGCAGGTGTCACTTTATCAAACCGTGAAATGTGGAATAACGCCATTTCTGGAGTGAAACTCACGAAAGCATGTGAATTATTAATCCCCGGTTATGCCTTGGGTGATGATGGTGATGGCTCGGGTGTTTCTTGACAAAGAAAGGTTTCTCCACTTTCACACTGAGCATTGTATTGTGCTGGGCTCTGTGGGGATTCAAGGGATGCATATTTCAACAAGCTGCGGTTCATGAATTAATAAAAGTAACTGATTCCATTTGTATTTCAGACCTGCAACCTCCAAGTCTACATCTAAAATTAAAAAATGATTTGTATGCATACTTTAAGGTAAAGGATCACTGCAGCGGGGACGATGTCTTTTCTGAAGGTTTCTTTGTTTTAATAGCAACAGCAGAATAAATTACCGCATCCTCGTTGGATGTTTTGGACTTTAAACACCTCCACGGAGTCATAAAAAATGTGGCTTCTGTTTAAAGTGCAAGATGAATTGTCAGTTGATGTCAGAGCAACAAAACAACAGGCTTTTTCGTTTTTTTCATTAGCCGCAGTATGCTGTGCGATGTCAGTCAGTTATGAACGATCACCTCACTGATCCCTCTCCTCTTGCAGGCTTCTGCCACTTGAATCTGTCTTCATCCCAGTTCCCTCGAGGGTTCACCTTCGACAGCGAAGAAACCAACTTCCCCACCGAGAAGCTCTGCTTCCTGGGTCTCATCTCCATGATTGATCCGCCGCGTGCCGCTGTGCCCGACGCAGTGGGTAAATGCCGCTCTGCCGGTATCAAGGTAATTGGTTCCACAGACTCAACCTTCATTGTAGTTCCTGAAAAGCCGTTTTCGTGGGGTTCCAATTATCGGTCTTTTTAGAGCAGGGATTTGCACGTCAAATGTATTTTCAAGTAAAAAAAATGCAGTTCCAATGACAGCCGATCACTCCGAGGGGTCCTGGCTGATTATAATCGTTGGGAACATGGTGTTCTGTTGCTCAGAGAAAGCTGCTGATAACATCATAAGCCAAAGACACAGGAGCAAAGTGTGTTGTTGGTTCTTATCTCTCCCGTGATTGTGTTTGTGGAAGATGTTAATGAAGTTACAACATCATTAGAACAGAAAAACATTTCATTTGTATTAGAAAAAGAAAAAGCAACCGGCCACGATGGATGAACTCACCATATTCAATGATAGAAAAAAGGTTAATTTTAGTAAAATGCAGATTCAGTACATCTATTACAAATTTGCATTATATGCTAAACGACTGACAATAAGCGCAGAGCAGATGTTTTGTCAAAAAGGTAATAAGCCGAGCTGCGGCAAGGTCACACAACTTCAGCAGAGATAACAAAGGATAATGAGTGGAGTGAATCATTTTGGTGCTGCTACAAATACAGAAAAGGGATTTTACACATTTATTTTCAGGTACAGAAGTTATCCGGCTTCTTTTGATAATGAGCTTTTGAAAGACACACTGTAATTGGCTTAAGAAACGCACTGGAGGCCTCAAGGGAGTGAAGATGTAACTTAAGGGAAGAAAATGGTTAATTGGTTTGTAACGAAAACTGATGAATTCACTGATAAAATGTTAAGATCTCAAAGTTTTCTGAGAGTTTTAGATAGACTGAGGCACTACAGTATCATCTCTAATTGAATGTTCCAGATTTGACTGCATTCAAAACATCTGTATTTTAATATATAAGTAGTTTTAATATTAAGCAGACACAGGATACAGGAAACAATGATATTTATACTCTTATTTGTACAAAAGAAATGGTATTTTACGCATGGTGATTCAATGTTACTCCATGTGATATACAGTAGTGTGTACATGCTTCATATAACTTCCAAATAATGTCAGACAGTGCTATGGGTGTACTGTGTGATGGAGCTGAAATAAGACACACACATACACACATCTGAACAAATGTGGTGTATTTGCTCGTAGCTGCGCCCATGGGGAAACTACAGCACATGTTCGCGTTGCTTTAATAACTTTTTATTGGATGTAGTGCTGACGTTTTCGTGAAATGCAGTGTTCAGTCCACGGCGTCTGTCTATAGGCTTTAGTTCATTATATAGCGCTCTATTTTTATTGCACCTTCATTCAGTCTGTCAGTGTACTGCGGTAGATTGTGAAGGGTTGGAGATTTGAAGAATTGACTCAATATGATCTTTATTTTTCTTCACCCTTCATATACGAGATATTCAAAAATGATTTATTCCCTGTGGTTTGAATGCATGCAGTTATGCCATAAACCTCAAATAGCAACTTTATTGGAACCACTGATATGTTGAATTAAATACTTGATACAGTATGTTCTAATGTCTTATGTATGGAACAGGATTAGGGCCATATTTTCACATCCGACTAAAAGTGAATTTTCCATTTAGTTCTGAAATTAAAGTCAGAAGTCTGTGGAAAAAAGTCAGAACTCTTAAAAAAGAAGATTTTTTTACTCATAATTCTGAATTTAACCTCAAATTCTGACCTTTCCTTTCTTTTAGAATTAGACTAGATTAGAATGACATATTGACATTGCACATGAATTCAAAGTCAAATAAAGTAGGAAATCAGTTTACATACACATATCAATAGTGAATTCAGCTTTTTCTCTCATAACTCTGAATTTAATCCAAGAATTCACTCGTTTTTTGGGGATATAAAAAAGTCCTCTTCCGTACTTGTGTAATACAGTGAGAAGAGAGGTCTTTAGTCCATCCTGCTTCTCTCATTTCTGTTGTATTTGAATGATTACCAAAGCGTTGACTGTATGTGTCAGAAAAGCTTCTTCAAGACAAGAAGCAGCTCGCACAATCAATTAACACGGACGCTATGCATCTGGGAATGGAAAGGAAGACCAGTCATTTAAGTTCAGTCATGCCTATAGCCATACTTTGCTGTTTTGGTCCCTCATTTGTGTTTTCTCCCCATCGCACTTTTTAAAAACCTTTAGGAACAATCCATCCAAGATTTTAGTTTGCGTATACTGTCAGATTTGAACCTTTAACCCCTAATAGCGCCATTCTTCCCCAGTGTAACTACACAACACATTTGGATGACTTATAGACCCCTTAAACCCCTTAAGGCCCACTCTGCACTGTAACTCATGTATGCTGTGACACATAAGGTACAGGAGAGATACACAGGGCTTTAACTTGATAATGCTCCGTGATTTACGGGATCTTCTGTGCTCCATCAGGTGATCATGGTGACTGGGGACCACCCAATCACGGCCAAGGCCATCGCCAAAGGTGTGGGCATCATCTCCGAGTGCAATGAGACGGTCGAGGACATCGCTGCAAGGCTGAATATCCCTCTGAGCCAAGTTGACCCCAGGTGTGTGTGTGTCTGTGTGTGTGTGTGCCAGAGGAGGTTTAGGCTCTGTGCTCAAGCGCCTAAGAGTTTGAGTTTCTGGTCAGTGATGTAAGGATATATGAGCGCTAAAAGGAAGATTTTGATTTTTTTTTTAATATATATATATGAAAGTTTAATGAGGAGATTATTACCACTCTCATATTTGTTAGATGAATATAAAACTGGAGCAAGCAGCCTTTTAGCTTAGTTTAGCTTGGACTATAATCAGCCAGCCTACAACATGTGCCTGCTAATACTAAATATGAAAAGTCACTTCTTAAACTTGGCAATAAAGGAGAAGAAGTAACCTAAGGAGAGAGGAAGGGATGTATTTTCAGTAAGTACAGACATGCAGAAGATGCCATGCTTACAGAGAAGTAAGAATATTAAAGTCACAATATATGAGAAATCGGAATGACGAGATTAAACAGTTAGGTATAACAACAGGATTGGGTTTTGCTAAGAAATAGGAAAATAACACCCCGTTAAACGACAAGTTATCCTTTGAATATTTATTTTCATTTTTAATAATATATAATTTTGTAGTGCCATTGTTTGTCAGACACGAAAAAACACTCAATGTTTCTTGTGGGTGTGAGAGAATGAAACTTGAGGAAAGTGCTAGAGAATGTCAATGCATAAATGCCCCCTGTTATTACTGACGTGTGTGTGTGTGTGTGTGTGTGTGTGTGTGTGTGTGTGTGTGTGTGTGTGTGTGTGTGTGTGTGTGTGTGTGTGTGTGTGTGTGTGTGTGTGTGTGTGTGTGTGTGTGTGTGTGTGTGTGTGTGTGTGTGTGTGTGTGTGTGTGTGTGTGTGTGTGTGTGTGTGTGTGTGTGTGTGTGTGTGTGTGTGTGTGTGTGTGTGTGTGTGTGTGTGTGTGTGTTTCCCAGGGATGCCAAGGCTTGTGTGGTGCACGGCTCGGACCTGAAGGAAATGAGCCCCGAGTACCTGGACGACTTGTTGAGGAACCACACCGAGATAGTGTTCGCTCGCACCTCCCCTCAGCAGAAACTAATCATAGTGGAGGGCTGCCAGAGACAGGTCAATGGACAACAGTGTGTGTGTGTGTGTGTGTGTGTGTGTGTGGAACAAACTGCTGAATAGAAGTATGTGTGTTTATATGGTTGAATGTAAGCATGTGTGTGTTTGCGATAAAGTGTGGATGAATGCTTGAATGTGTCTGTGAGTGTGGAGGTGTGGAGGTATGGTTGAATACAGGTGTGTGTGTGTGTGTGTGTGTGTGTGTGTGTGTGTTTGTGTCTCTGCCATTTAAGGCTGAATACTGTTTTGCTGTTTGTGTCACTCTTTGTGTGTGTGTGTGTGTGTGTGTGTGTGTGTGTGTGTGTGTGTGTGTGTGTGTGTGTGTGTGCTGTGGAGGTCTTTTTGGGGGGAATATGGTGGAGTGTGTATCTCTGTATAAGTATATGATTTGTGTTAACTCGTAAAAATAATGCATGAGCTGAGCTTTTAGTCGTGTATATGCACTTGCACACATCTTCCTATATTGAGGTCATGCTACAATTCACCATAACTCACTCTCTCACACTCCTTGTGTGTGAATGATCGCAAGTCAATTCCATTTTTCATTTAATCTCCCTAGAGCTGCTTTGAAAAGACATTATTAAGACAAAAAGGGGAGGGAGGGAGAGAGGGAAATGTGGAGAGTAAAGCTTAAATCACTGTTCTTATCTCCCTGTTCCTAACACTTTTTGTTCTCGGGTCCTTGTGGGTGCAGGGGGCGATCGTGGCTGTGACGGGCGACGGCGTCAACGACTCCCCGGCCCTGAAGAAAGCCGACATCGGCGTTGCCATGGGAATCGCAGGCTCTGATGTGTCCAAGCAGGCGGCTGACATGATCCTGTTGGACGACAACTTCGCCTCCATCGTCACCGGGGTGGAGGAGGGTGAGTGTGGGGGGGGATCAAGGAGGCGCAGGGAGAATAGAATAAGGGAAAGTGAGTCAGAGAAAAAAGGGGATTTAAGAAGTTTTAAATTAAACCAATCCTGCCTGCAAGCTCCTTTGTCATGTAGCAGCAGAGACTGGAGATTACTGCATTGTTGTAAAGTCACCTGAACATTGAAAATATGATATTGCTTTCTTTGTGGTAGATTTTTTTATAGCTGTAGACTAAAAGGGGCCCTATTATAGTCATTATCAGGTTCATATTAGTGTCTCTCCTGGGACATGTCTCCAGGCTTTAATGTTCAAAAAGCTTTCTCATACTGCCTGTGCTGCAGCTCCTCTTTTCACCCTCTGTCTGAAACCAGAGCCCAGTCTGCTCTGATTGGTTAGCTGGGCAGCTCTGTTGTGATTGGTCAACCTCTCAGAGGTGTCATCACGTACAATGTGTTGGAGCACTAGCCAATAGAAGCGGGAGTGTAACCTAGTGATGTCAATATGTTACAGAAGTAAACACAAGGATTTTAGCCTTTGCAGACCATTTACATGCACTCAAACCTATAGAACACAGCAGGAAGTAAAGGGGGAAACTCTGAAAACTCCAAAAAGCACAATAGGTCGTTTTTAAGATTTGTGATTTGCAGTCAGAAATGAAGCATCAATTGGGACATCTCCTCATCACTTCTGGAAATACTTGAGACATATTATGGCTTAAGACTTTAAATACGTTTTTAGTTCTGGTACAATAAAAAAGACTTAAGACATATACAACTGCATACTTTTTGTCTGTATATTGTACAAAAACACTGTAATGTCTTAGAAAGGAAAAACGTCCCAGCGTCATTGATATCATGGTCAGCCCTCAGAGACCTGTCAGACCCGAAACTTGACCTGCATTTAGCTTATTAAGACTTTTGAAATGACATGGCTTCAAGGACTTGACTTACTTTGACACATTTTAGATTTGACTTGAGGCTTGCCACAAGATTATGTATTTAATTAAAGTGGGTTTTCTAATATAGGCTGAGAAAAAGCATTAGTGTGATGTGAATAAGCTGACGAAGCAGTAAAAGTCATTTTTTATTTCAGTTAGTCTGGATAATTCACTCGAAAGTGATGAAGCAGCAGAAAAAACACACTATTAAAACTATACCGTGGTAGTATGTAACAAATATCCCTATGCCTATACATTTTCTTTCATGTCTTTCTCATCGCTGCAGGTCGTCTCATCTTTGACAACCTGAAGAAGTCCATTGCATACACGCTGACCAGCAACATCCCAGAGATCTCACCCTTCCTCCTCTTCATCTGTCTGAGTGTTCCTCTTCCTCTGGGGACCGTCACCATCCTCTGCATTGACCTGGGCACTGACATGGTGAGCGGGGGGGGGGAACTCAGTCCCTCAAACCCCTTATAGACATGTTAACCATAGTTTTCCTTCCACATCTCCATCAATACTTATGACCAGGTTTCTGAAAAAAACACCTAACATTCATTCGTTTTTCAAACATTAACATGTCGAAACAGAATTGTATATTTACAAATCTACAAAAGAAAAAGATATTGCAGCAAATTGCAAATAAAACTACAATTGCAGTTTGGACAACCAGTGCCTTTATTGCAGTGACAGAATTTAAACGGGGAGAGAGAGGAGATAACATGCGGCAAATAAGGGTAAAACATGGTCTTTCCGCTTGAGGACCAAACCCAATTGAGCTATACGGTGGCCCCTTATTCGTCCATTTGTTATAACAGTCCCTCTCACTAAGTCAGTTAGTAATCCTTGTCGCTTGTTTGATTCCTGAATATTAACAATTTGTCCCGTTTTCTTCATACTGTGATTCTTCCAGTGTCAGTCGATGTGTGAGTTGCCTGTGTTGGGTTTTTAGTGTCTGATGTATGAAACACATCCTAGATGTGTTAGACATGTTGAACACATCTCTCTTTTTCTGCCCTCTAGATGCTGGTTTCAATGGCTTTTTTATAGCTTTTCAAGCAAACGCCATCCTTTCTCTACAAATTCAGTTTACACAGGAGGTTATGACAACATATTTGTTTTTAGAATATCTTTCTTATTGTTTTTTATTTAAAGTGGACCTATCATGCTATATTTGAATAATATAGTGTAGGACCATACCTATATAAGGCATATTTATACTTTTTTTTTTCAAAATACCAAACAGATCATGCATTTTAGCCATGCCTCATTTTGCTCAATTTGACATGTTTTAGCTCTGTTTTAGCAAGGGCTGATTCAGTGAGAACAGCACCATCTACAGGCCTGGCATATGTACTACAGCGTCTCCAGCGCTTTCGAACGGCAATGGCCGTGGCTGTCTCCTCCTGATTGGTGGAGTTGGCCCAATAGCCGTAGCGCCACCGTCCTGAAGTGAGGACAGTGTTCAAATCTGGATCAGTTTTTATCAGATCCGTTGCAGCCCCTTTTTTAGAGATTTGGGTATGGAGGAAAATAGAGAGGGTTGTGATTTCTGACACTTGGTGAGTTCCCTGGAACACCGGGGACACATATTCATGTATAAAAGACGTGCATTTTGCATGATAGGTCCCCTTTAAAATCACTGAATGCTCAAGCTAATTGTTTGCTAATGTTGGTGATTCTTCTCAACGACGATTAATGTTAGCATGTTGCATAGCCATAACTAAGCTAAAGGTGACAGTAGCAAACTTGTGTTCAATATGGGTGCCTGGAGGTAAAAAAGAACAAAACATTTGGTTTAATTTGTTCTTTCTGTTGGTGGAAGAAATTCGCTTTTGGCTTTCTGCCGCTGCCCATTTGTTTGAACAGAACAAAGGGCGGGTGCCGCTCACATACACATTTACATTTCACTGCTCTGCCATTTCCAGATGCCAGTCTCTCCATTGTACTTCCAGCAGCAACAAAAAGAGTTGCTGGCACGCCGCTTGCCTGAGGGGCGTAATCCATCATTGCAAAAGAAAGGAAGCACAGGATGAATATATTCAAAAGGACTTGTTCACTTGTGTTCATTACTGTAACTTTAATTTTTCCTGCTCTCAGCCACCACACAGTATGCGGCTGAAACTGCTTCTATACATCTCAATGAGCCGGAAGCAAGAAAACGTATAAGTTATGAGGAACATAAACTATAATAGCCTCGTATTCAGCTGCCAAGAATCATTTGAAGTCTCTGAGAGTTTCAGATAAAGAGGAGAAGCTTGCTAACATTGTTCTACTTTTTGTATTCAGGTGACTTTAAAGATTCACTTCTTTGGTTTTCGTTCAGCAGGACAGATTTGTTCGTGTTCACAAATATTTACTTGCGATCACAGGGATGGCGCATTCTTTATCGGCTAGATCTCTCTTCAAATATTTGTGATGATTGAAGTTTAAAAAGAATCGTATTCCTGTAACTGTTTTGCATATAAAAACCCTTCCCTTCAAAGCAACATGTCTGCATGATGTTGGAGTGAACAGCTGGATGTCTGCTTTGAAGAGTACAGTAGCAACCTAAAAAGAAAAGATTCAATAAAGTACCAGAGAAGTGTTTATAGTACAGTACACAAGTAAAATTACAGATTTCCCATGTCTGCCGCTGAGGTTGTTAACAGCTTGTTAACAGCTTAGTTCAACTCCAGGCAACAGGCTTCAGGGCTCTGCTGAGATTTAGCAGTGACAAGAAGCACTTGGAGTCTGCTATGACTATTTTTAGCAAGCGCTGCCATGTGGGAAAAGGATGTCTGCAAAAGATGTTTATCAAAAGCAGAATGTGGCACACTTAAGAATGCTTCCGTTTTGGATATTGCCAATAAACAGGCATTTACACAAACTTTCAAAGGTGTACACAAATCAATGCCAACATGGTGGCATCCTGTCATAGTTTCCCTCCACAGCTGTGGGTCAGGGCAGGGTAACACCAAAACCAACTGGATTTGTCGACCGCCGAGCATGTGTTTGGTTCCACACAGTGCTGTGTCCCCCTCTCAAATCCAGAGATATCCTGCCTTAAGTCCCACATATTGCTCTGGTGCTTACAGTACCTGGTCAAACCAGCCAATATGAGATCTTTATTACAGGGACCTTTCTCCCCTCCTGTTTTATGAGCGCCTTGAAATTCACAGCCAGCCTCTCTCCTCTCTCCGCCCCTCTCTCCGTCACTGTCACTGCTAATTCTTTCCCTCTCCTTGCCCTTTTTTCTATCTTTTCTCTCCAGTGATTGAATGCTGAATTATATGAATGGTGATATGTTGAGCGTAGCCCACGTCTGCAGCTGTCATCATGCCTTTGTACCGTTGCCACTAAGACAAATTCCTGAACATTTATTGTACAAAGTGCACACAATGAACTGTGCTGTCGTCCCATTCTCCTCAGGTTCCAGCCATCTCATTGGCCTATGAGACAGCTGAGAGTGACATCATGAAACGCCAACCGAGGAACCCCAAGACGGACAAGCTGGTCAATGAACGCCTCATCAGCATGGCGTACGGACAGATAGGTTTGTGGCTCATAAGCTCCCTGCACCACAGCTCTTAAACCTGAGTCACTGTGACAGGCCTCCCGCAGTAAAGTTATGTTCATAATAAACTTAGCAGGTCTGAAAAACATAAAACATTGACATTTATCTTGGATTTTCTTACTGCCTTTGTAAATGTTTAGGCATGCACATTTAAGGGAAATGGATCCCGAGGTGAGCAGAGAGTCTCAGAATCTTCTTCTAATTGTCGTGACATTTACAGCAAATTGAGAGATGAGTGTGCAACTGTTTCCTACTTAATCATGGTCATGTTTCACTGGTTGGAGCGTCAGCTTTTTATCTCTGGATTTATATGGTTTTGGGAATTGTGTAACTCAAAGGCTGGCCCAACTTTATAGGCTTTTAAATAGGTCAAAATATGACGGGGCTTTGTCGGATGACAAGATGAAGAACGCTTTCCAAACAGCCGGATACTCACATTAATGCTCAATAATTCAAGACAAAACTTTTGCAGGTCACATAAAATCACATTTACAAGCCGCAGTTTTGACTTTACAGCTTGAAGTCCTGAAGCATGGACAATAAAACATTGAACTGATGATCTGATCTGCAGTGACATAACAGTAAAGTTCAAAGCCCATAGTGAAGAGAGGGAAGATGTACAGCATCCCCAGAAAGCAAATGCAACAGATTTTCTTATCACTGAGAAAACTATGCTAATGCCTGTCAACATAAATACTGACCCGGTTTCAATTTAGCAACAGAATAAATACGATGATTAATAACCAGTCAATCCTTGCACAGTTTTTGTGGAGGTTTGCTTTAAGTGAAGACGTAAGCTTTGAAATGAGATGTCCATCATATTGGAAACGTTACGCCCACTCTGACAAAACACATTTTCCAACATGAAATTAAAGCTCACCCATCGGCTATTATTGCAGTCCTCAGCTGTCTGGAGCCATTTACTTAGAGAATAGTAACGTTGTCGAGGGCAGAGGGAGGAAGACATAATCACCGGTGCTGTTGTCAAACACATATTAAGTGGCAAGCAGCAGGTGGACTGAGGCTGGGTGTCCAACATGTGCTCTTTCCAAGTCAATTTATCTGGCATTTTGTGGTATAATCCCTGTAAATAAGTGACCCTAATACCAGACCATTAGTATTATTATAATAGCTTTTGACACCCATTCATATTATCTTTAAATCCTGTCACTTTTTCTGTAGTAACATTATCTCTACTGCTACACTGTCATGAGATACACCATTAAAATGTAATATAACAGCACTTAATTTACACAATGGTTTTTATCAATCCATTATCCAATCATCCTGTCGCTGTGATTTATTATATACATAAATGAATGACTTATTGGTTCAAATTGCACTAAATTACTAAATAAAATAAAGGGAACATTTTATTCTGAAGGTCAGAAATGTCTCAATGAATTCTTCATTTCTCCTGGTTTTGTTTAATTGGTATCCCAAACAACTGGTAACAAAAAGATGCTAACATAATGAAGTACACAGCAGTTTAGAAACAGGCACATTATAAGTTTTCCCTGAAAGGCATGTAGTTTAACTCAACATAAATAACTAAACCCTAATTAAAACAATAAAACATTTGCAACGAAAAACCCCAGAACTAAGTGTCAATGTTCTCTATAACTACTGAATCACATTGTTCACATTAGAAACAATTTAAGACCATTATTAGGAAATGACAGACCTGTAAAATAAAGTGTTGCTATAAAATCTAATAGTAACCCTTAATAAGAACGATATAAATGATATTTCGCCTAATTTTGCTTTCCAGGGATGATCCAGGCTCTTGCTGGTTTTTTCACCTACTTTGTGATTTTGGCTGAGAACGGCTTCCTTCCAAATAAGCTGGTGGGTATCCGCGTCAGATGGGACGACCGCGAAGTAAATGATGTGGAGGACAGCTTCGGGCAGCAGTGGGTAAGGAGCCAGCACAAATATAAACAAATACAACCTTTATTTATGTCCCGTAATCATGAAGTACTGAATCAAAATGTGGTGTTTTCCTCCTGCAGACCTATGAGCAGAGGAAGATCATTGAGTTCACCTGCCACACCTCCTTCTTCATCAGCATCGTTGTTGTGCAATGGGCTGATCTGATCATCTGCAAGACCCGGAGGAATTCCCTCTTTCAACAGGGCATGAAGTAAGTACCGGAGGGAGGAAGGGGGGAGTGAACGATCGGTAAAAGGATTTCAAATCATGACAATTAGATTCAACTTTTAGTCAGTAATGAGTGGTGCAGCAAATGACGTATTTTTGTAGATCCACCAGGAAGTAAGCATAGCAAAGGGTCCGATGACAAAATAAATAAGATAAGATCTGGTGGCAAACACACTCCATATCTTGACATCACTTTGATAATTTTTTTAATCGTAAATGCAATCGGCAGAAGGAAAAAAACGTACGTAATGCTATAATCAAACTACATCACGGTCATTTGACTTCACGTCACCATCGCTAAGCTATAGGCGACACATTTTCCGGGTTAAGATGTTTAGTACTCTCATTTTGTCACTTGTTAGCAACTGCCGATTTATGAGACATTTACAAGTGGGGTAATTATTGACCTATTTTATGTTGTATAACAAATCCTCAAAGTCTCCTAAGCTCGCGTTGACCTACAGTCCTTTTTTCAGTTATCTAACAAAAAAAAACCCATTCAAAACAACACTGAACAGGCGATGACGGTATTCTGAAGTGCTAAAAAGCTAACTCATTCCCAGGTTTAGGACTCATTCCTGCGCCTCTCTATTGACTGTAACATGTCTGAAGATTTGAACCCCTTCCTTTCTTCTGTCTCTTTGCTCAACAGGAACAAGATGCTGATCTTCGGTCTGTTTTTCGAGACGTCTCTGGCTGCCTTCCTCTCCTACTGCCCTGGGATGAACATTGCCTTGCGCATGTACCCCTTGAAGTACGCTCTGCATATGCATATCTCCACCTAACCGAAAAATAACCTCTTAACGACCTAATAGTCTGCCATTAGCCTGTCACTCTAGCCTTTAAATGAAGTCTCTGATCGTCTTAAACACCACGTTGTTATCCTTGATATTCAAACATGGCTGCAATGAATTGAACAATTTGCATTCTTCCCGTGACTCACTGCTACCCTATCTCTCCCTGCCCCTGTTTTACTCTTTCTCTCCTCCTATCAGGCCCATGTGGTGGTTCTGTGCCTTCCCATACAGTCTTCTCATCTTCATTTATGATGAGGTCCGTAAATTAATTCTGAGGAGGAGCCCCGGAGGTAAGCAGTTATTAAGAGAAACTGAGATTAAAAGGTTTCAACCTTCTTTGTCTTGTTAATAAGCTGAAAGAAACTTCGGTGATTGACACAACTATCTCAGGAACCACATGTGCCATTTTACATCAAGACCTCTGTATGTCTGTCAGCTCTCCGACTGTCCGATAAAAATACACATCCTTAACGAGTAGGCTGTCCACTCCTATAAGGACACACTGATTGACAAAGTGGCTCCAGCTCTCCTCTGTTAATCTGACCTGAAGGATCCCAGCAGCATCTGACGGACAGTGACACGCAGCCGAATATCAAGTTCAATGTCAGTCCGAAAAAATATATAAAAACAACATCTGACTGTTTTGAACTGAGATAAATAGGGAAAGTACAGGTACCAATTTGACTAAACACTATTGGTAGCAGTGATGGATGATTCACAAAAGATGTAAGCTTATATTTTTGAGTTGCGATAAAGATATGGGTTTTCAACATTGTTGCCAGCTATAACAAAAGTAAAAATCAAATAAATTATTATGAATTTTTTTTTTTTTTTTATAATTGTATATTTTAATTGTTATTGTTATGTATTAAACAGATATATATACTGTATATCAAATATAATTACTAAGTGCTTGACCTAAAATAAAATAAAATACAAAAATATATATGAACTATGAAATTAACTAAAACCCTTGTAAAATAAAGATCCTTTTTTTTTTTTGGACAAAGTACATGGTGCAAATATAGCAATTGACATACCATAGTGTAGCTGTCAGATTATAAAATTGTCATTGTAATTTTAACCTGTATTATAAATAATAACTTAGCTTTAAAAGTCATTTTTTAAATCCCAGCTTTAAGTGATGCAGCTTAAAATGATCAGGCCACTCAATGCAGAACGGTTCTCCAGCTTTCAGAGCCTCCGCAACACTTCACTGATCACTGTTTGTCTTCCAGGTTTGATCCCTGACCAAATAGCATGTAAATGCCCTGCTGACTGGCACTTTGCTCAGGAATTCAATTTGACAAATGGAGCGTAAAATCAAGGCAAATAAACATGACAACATTCAATGGAGAAAACTTTATTTTTCCTTGCTGATAAACAGACGGTGGTGAAAACACAAGCCACTACTAATTATACTAATAGAAGCAATGAAGAAATATGATAATAGATTATTACAAAAACAGAGTTATTCTATTTGTAGCATGAAGGTAAAAACCTTTAGCAACGTGTTAAAAGTCGAGAATGGAGACAGCAATCTTTATGGACTCCGACAACTCAGTGAACATGTGTTGAATTTGCACCAGGAAAGAGATTACACCTGTCCAACAGCAACAGATTCAGAAGAGAATGATGAGAAAGGAAATTAAAGCAGGCTGATGAAGACTCTTGAGATACGCAGCGAAGATCATACACATGATATGGACACACTACAATAGCTCCAAATCTGTTCACTGCCACAGCGTTTCAGCTGATGAGGGCCGAGACATGGAGAGACAAATACAATTTATCGTGACAGCTAATCATTTCTGTTAATCTGTGTGTCACGGGCTGCTGATCAGAGTCTTGGTGTTATAAGGGGATTCATTTGGAAATATACAGAGATAAAGCCAACCACATGAATACAAATAGAGCGAAACAAAAGGATATTATGGAAACTGCTGCCTGTCATTTTGGTCTCTGACAATTCCTCCCTTTCTCTCTCTCTTCCAGGTTGGGTGGAGCAGGAGACATATTATTAACATTCAGCAATGTCAGTTTGAATTGTGTGTATGTGAGTGTGGGTGTGTGTGTGTGTCATGAGTAATATTGCAAGGATCAGTTCACAAATCTGATTATCACAAAAAATAAGCTTTTGATTGTGTTTCTCAGAAAACATTTCCAAAGAACAATGTTAATACTGTATGTGCCTTACATGAACTGTAACTGAAGTGATGTATCATGGCCTTTTTGGCTATGGAGGAATACCAAATGTGGTTCGTCATGTGAAATGTACCAAATAAAATGTATTCCAATATAATATTCCTGGACATTGTTTTAATTGTGTGAACTGTAGTATTCCTTAATTGGAGAACGTAGACTGTCAATTTCAACTTTACAATGCTTTACTAATTATTCACTAGATCTGCCTTTGTGTTTAAGTGTATTAGTTCATGCTACTCAATGAGAACAGGCCACACAAAGATGTCAGTAAAAAACAAATACAAGACATATATATAAAGAAAACAAGAATATAAATCAAATAAAAGATACACATTCGCTGTGTTTAATGTAAAGGAATCCCTCATATGTTGGTGACAATTATACACATCAAGTTATACAATGTTATATTTTTAGACTGAATATTGGTATCGGCTTCAATATGCAGTGTGAGTCAGGCTCTGCTGTGCTTCCTGATAGCATCATCCATTATGTATGTCCTTGTGTCTTCTCTTCACTAGACACCCTTTACTTTACTGTCAAAATAGTCAACAAACTATGGACATGGCAGCAGCGCATTTTACTCCCAATTTGCTCCACCAGCTCTTTGTTTAAGTTAGTTCAATCAGGAGAGACGGTTTTGATGTAAGAATACATATTTATTGCCAGGAATACACAAATGAATGTAATGGAGTTTTGGCGATTAGGCCCCGTTGTGCGGGAGTATCATTCGGGAGGGGAGAACCGATCCGATGAAACCCCCCGGGGTCTAGACACTGGTGGTGGTGAATGGATAGTTGGGGTCGGTCTGAAGAGGATTGGCTTAGCTTGACCCTGGATTCAGAGGGACAGGAGGTGAAAAGGGGGTGGAGGAGGGTTGCGTGAAGTCACCTGAAATGACAGCTGTCGGAGGGGGGAGAGCAGATTTAAAAGGTTTAGCGGAGCGCTATGATAGGCTTGTGAGAATAGAGCGAAGTGATTGGTTAAGCTGGGGTGTGACGCCCCCGATCACTTATTGAGAGGAGAGCGAGTAGTAACATAGAAATAGTAAATGGATTAGTAAAGACGGTCTTCCTGGTTGAACTTGCGCTGAGCTTCATTTGTTCAGAATGGCTCACAATGCAATAAGTCAATATTATTAAAAATTGCAATGACAACAAATTATGGTGTTTTGGCTCTCATGTAACCATCCCTAAATCTTGTCTGGTATATATCCTACATATACTTGATGAATTAAATAGGACCACCAGGCTTTAGTGAACCAAGTCTATGGCAATGGCTGCTCTTGGCATCATTCATTTAATTTGTAATCATCTAAAGATTGTCTTGGGGACTTTAAGGTAGAGGTTTGGTCACCAAAGTTTAAGCTTGAATGTTGTACTGTCACAGTTTTAATCATCTTATTTCATTCGGTTGTTGTCTTGCTTTCATTTTTGTTGTACTGCATTATTTCACTTTAGTATCTATTTATGAGGTTTAGCTGTGTAAATATGCTACATAAATAAGCTCAACTAGTTATTATTACATTACATTACATGTCATTTGTTAGACACTTTTATCCAAAGCGACTTACATACTCAATACTGTGGGCAATCCCCACAGGAGCAATTTGGGGTGAAGTGTCTTGCCCAGCGACACAACGACATGCTGACTGCAGTGGGGTTTGAACCTGATCCGAACACCAACACATTGATGATCATTGTTTATTAATGTGCCTATCTTTATGATTACTTTTTAATCACTTTATTACATAGCAAAAGCAGCACAACACTTGAATAACTGTTTAATCATCTGTTTGCAACTCACATATATCATACCAATATTCCAATTACTGTATATAGTCTATTCTGCACAATCATATTCTGTTTCTATTATATTTTATTTACTTGTAGTCATTTATCTGTTTATTGTGTTGCACTGTTGGAGGAGCCTGTGACCTAAGATTTTCATTGTCATATCTACACCGTAGCTATGCAGACATGACAATTAAGCCTTGAAACTTGAAACTTGAAATATGTGGGATTTTGCTTTAAAATATAACTATTCAAATGATTATCACAATGCCAATACTCGTTTGCTGATCAACTAGGCTACTCGTTTGAGCTCTTAACTCAAATAATAAAGCATCTATCTTAGTTTTAAATGTAACTCTAATAAACATGTATTTTATTGAAACCCACTGTGCTATTTATTTATATGCGAGCACATATATATTTCTTATATTGAAGCTGGAAAGGGGAGAGCAGGCTCACCATTATGAAAACATTTTAGGGTGTGTTATGAAATAGATGTGAAAGATGAACAAGCTCATAAATGTGAATGATAAAAGCCTATCTGGATTTATTATAAGAACTTTGCCGATACCCTTGACCCAGCCTGACCTTAAAACAACCGTTTAAGGGCGGGATTAGGAACAACAACATCCGTTACGTCACTTCCGCTCACTGCCTGTCAAACATGGCGCTACTCCTAAGGTCAGTACATCTGTGCTACATACTGTTTGGGCTCGGGTAAAGCTTATTGTGTTCGTTTTAGGTCTTATCATGACAAATAGACACATTAACAGCACTGTGGCGTTACAGATGAGTTCATCACACCCGAGTGTTACTTTCTACTGTGGTTTATTTTCCCTATTTAGCGTGAATATGGTGCGACAGACGTTAGCTGGCGGGCTAACGCTAGCTGTTTCAGGTATTTGAAGCTAGCAGAAGGATGACTTTGACACTTCGAATACTTATGTACGATGTCAAACGTTGTTATTTAGTGCCTAAAGCCGTTATATGGGTGTTGTGTGATAGGTGATAAACGAACGTAACAGGAAAGTGTTTGGCTTGTACCTGACAGGTTAGCTAGCTTTAGCTACATTGCTACGCTGCCGTGCCTTTACCAACAATGTTATAAAGTAAAGAGTCAAGTGCTTGTTGAACTTGGTCCACTTCATTGACCTTAAGTAGAAGGTGAGCACAGTGCATCACAGACGTATTAAACCAACCTTGATCTCTCTAGGAGTTTGCTTATTGTTACTTTGCACGATGGAGTCTGGCTTAGGCATAGGGGTCATTGCATACTGACTCGTATTGCCTGCAAAACTGTTAATAGTTTTAAGACAACCATTGACTGAGTCTGGCAATCAGAGTGGTACAGATTACCATGACTGAATATTAACTACATTATTATTCGGAGATCGGAACAACTCACAGGGGCTATGCTCCAAATCCTAGTTTATTTCGAACGTTTTGGAAGTTCATGTTTTCTAGCATTGCTTATGTGTTGGGTTGAAATGGGTACTGAACATCCAAGAAACCCTTAAAGGTCCCATGTCATTGCCATGCCATTTCTACTGATCATAATTCCATTGTTGAGGTATACTAAAATAGATTTATATTTTTGCAATTTTCCAAAATCACATTGGTTTCTCATACAGCATCTCTGTATAGTATGTGTATTCACTCTCTGTCCTAAACGGCTTGTTGGAGCTCCTGCTCCACACAGGGTTTGTGACTTTGCAGACCGTTTACATGCATACAAAGCTACATAACACACAAGGGGATGGGTAATAACCGGAAAAGCATGACATGGGACGTTTAAGAATACTATGCAACATGTTATTTTTATTTGATCATTTAGTAATGTTTTCTCTGTTTCAATGGAGTAACTGATATAATATGCTTCTTTTCTGTTTGATCTTACCACACCTTTAACGGCAACCGCCAGAAATAAATCTTTATTTTAACCCTTTCTTCTTTCTTGTGTTCAGGACGTTTGCCCGGCAGGGTGTGTGTCTCTCCAGACAGCACTACGGCGTCTTCTACAGACAGTAAGTTGTCTAATGTGTTGCATACACTACTGCAACTCATAGGAAGGATACAGACACATGCTTAAACCTATACATTGTTTTTCTTATGTACTCTTAACATGTTTTATTTCTACAGTGCTGCTCCAATGGGAACCACAGCTAAGGAGGAGATGAACAAGTTTTGGGCCAAAAATAACAAATTAAACAGGCCCATGTCTCCTCATCTCACCATTTACAAGTACGTACTCTTTTTCAATTGCGTGGCTATGTTTTGTCTAGAAAATGTATGTTTCATAATATCAGCTAAATATATGTTTCAAAGAATCTAAAATAATATTGTTATTGAAGTTAATGTTCAGGTAGTGCTGTCTTTTCATTCTTACAAAACAGCAGGAAAGCCAACATTGTCACATTTTCAATTCTTAATACATTTAGTTCAATGAGCAACTTAATGTACTGTGAGGCAGTTATTATATTAAAAACTCAAAACAAAAATAAACAAACATTTATTTCGTATGTGCCTTTTATAATTTCACACTGGCTTAATTGATTTTATTTTATTTTATTTTTCTCTGTCACTTGGAATCATTCCTGTTGCTAATCAGGGCTTGAATTGCAACTAACAATTATTTTTACTACAAATGAATCTCATCAAACTTGTTATCTCTGTACTATCCTGCAGTGATGCGACTGAGCCTAAACTAAAACAAGCGGTTTAAGTTTGACTTGTAGTTTGTAATATGTTTAAACCACACATTGTATTTTTGTAACTGTATCAAATAAATACAAATGAAACTTACAAAGTGGCATTCTTTTTCCGTTTCAGCTGGTCCGTCCCCATGGTGATGTCCATCACATTCAGAGGAACTGGAGTGGGGCTCAGTGGAGGTAACACATGCGTCATTAAATCAAAGATATGCTCGTGAATTAGTGATGAGAATTCCGGCTCTTTTTAGTGAGCCGGATCATTTGGCTCGGCTCACCAAGAAGAGCCGGCTCTTTCGGCTCCCAAACGGCTCTTCAGTTTACCACATATACCTTTTATAATTCATTTCAAATGTAGCCCTGTTTTGACTAATGATTTATATCACTTAAATGATTCAATACATCCTTTGTACTGAAGTATTCAAAAGTAAAAATGACATGTTTAATATAAATGATTGCTGTGGCCAATTGTTTTCATTGCATTGACAGACCCTTGTATCTCTCTGATACCACCCAATGAATGCACTGACTTGCTTGTAGAACCACGCTACACAAAGCAGATACAACGCCTATAAAAACGTAAGCATAGACAT